AACAAAAAAATACATAGTGGAAAATTTTATTTTTGAAATAGTTGTCTAAAAATTTTGAAAAAATTCCAAAAATATAGCGAGTTTATGGTCACGGAGCAACATTTTCGAAAGAATCAGTAGGAAATGCGAATTTTTGAAAATTTCTAAAAATTTCGATATTTCAACGGTTGATTCTGGGAAAATGGTTGCACTTATCAAAGAATCGAGGCCGGAAGTGAGTTCTGGAGTTCAAAATCTATAAGAAAATGTATTTAGTTTAAGTTTCGAAAATGTCAAAAATTGGCCGAAATTTGAAGAAGGGGGGGACCATTGAAAAAATTTCACTTTTAAAAAAGTTTTCTAAAAATTGTGAAAAAATTCAGAGACGTAGATGTCGACATGCTGATTCCAAAAATATAGCGTGTTGATGGTCACGGAGCAATATTTTCGAAAGAATCAGTAGGAAATGCGAATTTTTGAAAATTTATAAACATTTCGATTTTTCGACGGTCAATTCCGGAAAAACGGTTGCAGTTATCAAGAAAACGAGGCCGGAAGTGAATTCTGGGGCTCGCAATCTACCAGAAAATGTATTTAGTTAAGTTTCGAAAATGTCAAAAATTGGCCGAAATTTGAAGATTGAAAAAATTTCACTTTTAAAAAAGTTGTCTAAAAATTGCGAAAAAAATCAGGGACGTAGATCTCGACATGCTGATTCCAAAAATATAGCAGGTTGATGGTAATGGAGCAACATTTTCGAAAGAATCAGTTGGAAATGCGAATTTTTGAAAATTTCTAAAAATTTCGATTTTTCGACGGTCGATTCCGGAAAAACGGTTGCAGTTGTCAAGAAAACGAGGCCGGAAGTGAATTCTGGAGCTCGAAATCTACCAGAAAATGTGTTTAGTTAAGTTTCGAAAATATCAAAAATTGACCGAAATTTGAAGAAGGGGGGACCATTGAAAAAATTTCACTTTTAAAAAAGTTGTCTAAAATTGTGAAAAAATTCAGAGACGTAGATGTCGACATGCTGATTCCAAAAATATAGCGTGTTGATAGTAATGGAGCAACATTTTCGAAAGAATCAGTTGGAAATGCGAATTTTTGAAAATTTCTAAAAATTTCGATTTTTCGACCGTCGATTCCGGAAAACGGTTGCAGTTATCAAGAAAACGAGGTCGGAAGTGAATTCTGGAGCTCGAAATCTACCAGAAAATGTGTTTAGTTAAGTTTCGAAAATGTCAAAAATTGGCTTAAGAATACCTACTTTATTTCTGTTTAAAAAAATTAAGGTTTATTTCTTGAAGTTTTTTTTCAGCAGTGTAAGTTGCTATTCAATTCCCTTTCAGATTTTTGGGAAATTCGCTGATCCGAACAAATCGCTAATCCTAACACACCTTTTCGGCAATTAATTCGGATTATCGAGGTTCTACTGTATTCGATTTCTCGATTTTCCGATATTTCGACTTTTCGACTTCCCGATTTCCCCATCTCCCAATCTTTTGATGTTTCGTTTCTCGATGTTTTGATTTTTCGAGTTTTCGGTTTTTCGATTTTTTGACTTTCCAATTTTGATTTGTCGGCTTTTCGATTTTTGAATTTTAAATTTTCCAATTTTTTGATTTATTGATGTTTCGTTTCTCTATGTTTTGATTTTTCGAGTTTTTGATTTTTCGACGTCCCAATTTTTCAGCATTTTCGTTTTGGAATTTTTCAGTTTCTCGATTTATCAGTCTATCGATTCCCCAATTTTTCGACCTTTCCGCGTTTCGATTTTTCAATTTTAAATTTTTCAATTTTTCCATTTTTGATGTTTCGTTTCTCGATGTTTTGAATTTTAAAATTTTCAATTTTTCGATTTTTTGATGTTTTGATTTTTCGACTTTTGGATTTTCCGACTTCCTAACTATCTGATAATCCGATTCTTCAATTTTTGGATTTCCCAATTTTTTGACATTTTCGTTTTGCAATTTTTCAGTTTCTCGATCTATCAATTTATCGATTTTCCAACATTTCGGCTTTTAGATTTTTGAATTTTCAGTTTTTTAATTTTTCGACTTTTTGATGTTTCGATTTCTTGGTTCTTCAGTTTTTCGATATTTTAATTTCTCAGTTTTTAAAATTGTACATTTTTCGTTTTCTCGATTTTATTGATTCCTTGATATTTCTATTTTTCAATTTTTCAAATTTTTAAATTCTCGATTTTTCAGTTTTCCGGTTTTTTAACTTTTACATTTTTCGGTACTTCAATTTTTCAGTTTTGCAATTTTTTGATTCGATTTCTTGACGTTTCGGTTATACGATTTTTCAGATTTTCAATTTTTGAGTTTTCTATTTTTCAATTTTTCGATTTTTGATGTTTCGTTTCTCGATGTTTTGAATTATAAATTTTTCAATTTTTTGATTTTTTGATGTTTTATTTCTCCATGTTTCGATTTTTCCACTTCCCGATTATCTGAGGTTCCTATTTCTCAATTTTTCGATTTCCCAATTTTTCAGCATTTTCGTTTTGGAATTTTTCAGTTTCTCGATTTATCAGTTTATCGATTCTCCAATTTGTCGACTTTTCCGCTTTTCGATTTTGAATTTTAAATTTTTCGATTTTTCCATTTTTGATATTTCGTTCCTCGATGTTTTGATTTTTCGACTTTTCGATTTTCGGCCTTCCCAATTATCGGATATCCGATTTTTCAATTTTGAATTTCCCAATTTTTTGACATTTTCGTTTTGGAATTTTTCAGTTTCTCGATTTTCAGTTCATCGATTTTCCAATTTTTCAACATTTCGGCTTTTCGATTTTTGAATTTTCAGTTTTTCGACTTTTTGATGTTTCGATTTCTCGGTTCTTCAGTTTTTCAATATTTTAATTTCTCAGTTTTTAAAAATTGTACATTTTTCGTTTTCTCGATTTTATTGATTCCTCGATATTTCTATTTTTCAATTTTCCAAATTTTTAAATTCTCGATTTTTCAGTTTATTGATTTTTCAGTTTTCCGATTTTTTAACTTATACATTTTTCGGTTCTTCAAGTTTTCAGTTTTGCGATTTTTTGATTTGATTTCTTGACGTCTCAGTTATACGATTTTTCAAATTTTCAATTTTTGAATTTTCAATTTTTCATTTTTCGATTTTTGATGTTTCGTTTCTCGATGTTTTGAATTACAAATTTTTCAATTTTTTGATTTTTTGATGTATTATTTTTCGATGTTTCGATTTTTCCACTTCCCAATTATCTGAGGTTCCTATTTCTCAATTTTTGGATTTTCCAACTTTTCAGCATTTCCCTTTTGGAATTTTCAGTTTCTCCATTTATCAGTTTATCGATTCTCCAATTTTTCGACCTTTTTGCTTTTCGATTTTTGGATTTAAAATTTTTCGATTTTTCCATTTTTGATGTTTCGTTCCTCGATGTTTTGATTTTTCGACTTTTCGATTTTCTGACTTCCCAATTATCTGATATCCGATTTTTCTATTTTGAATTTCCCAATTTTTTGACATTTTCGTTTTGGAATTTTTCAGTTTCTCGATTTTCAGTTTATCGATTTTACAATTTTTCAACATTTCGGCTTTTCGATTCTTGAATTTTCAGTTTTTCAGTTTTTCGACTTTTTGATGTTTCGATTTCTCGGTTTTTCAGTTTTTCGATATTTTAATTTCTCAGTTTTTAAAATTGTACATTTTTCGTTTTCTCGATTTTATTGATTCCCCGATATTTCTATTTTTCAATTTTTCAAATTTTTCGATTCTTCAATTTTTCAGTTTTACGATTTTTTGATTCGATTTCTTGACGTCTCGGTTATACGATTTTTTAGCTTTTCGATTTTTGAATTTTCAATTTTTCTATTTTTGATGTTTCGTTTCTCGATGTTTTATGCCATATTTTTCACAAAGTATCCCTACAATTTATTCAAAATCAGTATAATATTAAATGGAGCGGCACATACTGTATAATTATTAATTAATGTACAAGGAGCACTAGACTGTGCTAGGAAGTTTGTATATTGTTGCCCATAACTCTAATGCTCTTACTGAATCAGGTTTATGTATCAAATTACATCATAAATTAATGTGTTAAAATACTGTACATTAACAAACTTTATTAATTATGCAAATGATCGTAATGTAAATTGCTAAACTTTAACGAATAGTTTATTTTGTTATGTACACTAAAATCCTTCGAGATGCGAGATCGCAAATTCATGATAAGTCACTTTTTTAATCTACCATGAACTTGGCCTATAAACAATGCCCCAAGTATATTTTATTTTTTATAAGCATTTGTAATATTATTGCCTTGATAAGAGTTCGTAATAAAAAAAGTGATCACTAATAATATGAAACAGCCTGTATATTATTGCTTTAACGTGACCGTTTTCGCTGTGGCACGACTCTCCGGTGGTCTTTGAAAGCGCCACGCCGCGGAATTTCCCATTGATAATCCCTTCATGTCCGATGGAGTAATAGAGGCATTTTGAAAAATGCCCGCCTGGAATTTTAATCGGGGAACTTTTCGTTTCCCTGTTAAAATTAAACAATGAATGAATTCGTGGATCTACACTTGTTTTCATATTCAAATGAACCCGAAGGAAAGTAGTGCATGAATATTCAAAAGCTTTAAAACAAAGTAAGAGGCAGAAATTTATATAGATTTATTAGCGACGGAATTTTGCCAGAATGGCTGCAGTTTCACCTAATCGAGTTGCGGTACAACAATCCGAGAGCTTTAAAGAAGTTACGGCAACTTTTAAATCGAATCCCCGTCGGCTTGTCTGCAAGAAAATAGAAAATCCCTGGTGTTTTGTGGAAATGGTGAGAGTGGTTTAAGAACAAGTGTTGTGGGAAATTTTTCTGATGGACAAGGTAATTTAGCGTGTTTTTTAAATTATAAGGCTGCGACGAAGTCCAGATGAAAGGTTTTTAATGTTGAGCTAAGTTAAACATTTTTGTTGATTAAGTACTTACAATATTACATTCTAATTGAGTGCTAATTATGTATTACATGCTTGAATCAATGATAAATTTTTTCACTTCGCGTTTTATCATCTTGAAGCTTCGGAAATTTGGTCTTGTGAAGGCCTCAGATTTTCGTTTACTCGCAGTTTGTCCAGTCTATTGAAGAGGTCGTCATATTCCTCAAATTTAAGCTTCCATAAATCTAAAAATCAGTGTTTTTATTAACAACGTTAAATAAAACGTAGAAAATTACCTAATAATTCTTCGAGCGATTTTTCGTTGCCACCGTAATTTTCGGGTAAAATTTCTAAGGGCAGTTTTTCTTTTATGATACTTGCATCTTTGCAAATATGAATCTAAAATACATACTTAAATTAACGTAAGTAATTTTTTTAAACTTATAACTAAATAGGATTTATATGCAAAAATAGATGCATTTTTTTTGCTGTTATAATTACCAATTAGATGTTTTTCCAAAATTTTTATTATAAAATGCTGTCTTCTATCTGTCGGTAACATTTTGTCGGAAGAAAAAGTTCTTTCTCAATCAACAGTAGATTTAAAAAAAATTATTAAAAAAGAAACGAAAAATTTGGTAAATCGAAAAATTGAAAAATCCAAAAAAATCGGAAAATTGGAAACTGAAAAGTCCAAAAATTAAAAAATTCAAAAACTTGAAAAATAAAAATATCGAGAGATGGAGTCGAAACATTGAAAAATCGAAAAATTAAAAAATCTAGAAAGTGAAAAACTCCCAAAATTGAAATGATGAAAAATTGAAAAATTGAAATCTTGCAAAATCCACAAACCTAAAAATCAGAAAGTCGAAATTTAAAAATAAATCGAAAAACTGAGACCGTATCAAAAAGTCGTGAAATCGAAAAATTGAAAAATGTAATACTTAAAAAATTGAAAAATTGAAGAATCGAGAATCGAAATATCAGAAAATCGAACATTTAAAAACGATAAAGCCGAAAACTCGAAAAATCGAAAAATTTTAAACCCGCAGACTTGAAAAATCGAAAAATCTAAAACCGAGAAGTCGAAAAATCCGCAGATCGAGACATCGAAACAACAGAAATCAAAAATTTAAAAACAAACAAAATTTGAAAAATAGAAATATACAAGAATCGGAAAATCTAAAATTTTAAAAATTGAAAAATTAAAATATCTACAAATTGAAGAATAGAAAAATTGAAGAATCGAAATTCTGAAAAATTCCGAAACTGAAATATCGAAAAATTAAAAAGTCTAAAAACTGGAAAACCCTAAAATTTAAAAACCGAAAAAAGAAAAATAGAAAAATATAAAAAGTCAAAAAATCGAAAGATCGAGAAAAAAAAAGAAAAATTTAAAATTTGGAAGTTAAGATATCTACAAATTGAAGGATCGAAATATGTATTGAAAAATCCCAAACTACAATAATGAACAATTAAAGAAATCTAAGTTTTAAAAATCACAAGCCGAAAATTCGAAAAATCGAAACTCATAAAGTTCCAAAAATTGAAGAACTGAAAAACTAAGAACTGGAAAATCGAAAAATTATAAATATTTTGAAATCAAAAAATTGAAAAATCTAAAAATGTATATAAGGAGTCGAAAAATCGAAAGATCGAGAAATCACAAAATTAAAAATGGAATTATTCATGAATCGGAATATCTCAATTTTTAAAAAATCGACAAATTGAAGAATCAAAATATTGAAAAATTCCAAAACTGAAACATCGGTAAATAGAGAAATCGAAAAGCCGAAAACTCGAAGTCGAAAAACCTAAAATTTAAAAAATCGAAAAACTGAAAAATCAAAAACCTAAAAAATCGAAAAATTGAAGCATTGAATCACGAAATCGGAAAGTCGAAAAACCAAAAAAAAAACGATTCTACGAAGAAATATCCCAAAATTGAAACATCCGTAAATTTAGAAATCTAAAAATTGAAAAATCAAAAAATCGACTGAAAATCGGAAATTTAAAAAACCGAAAAATTGAAAAATAAAAACCTGAAAAATCGAAAACTGAAGGATGGAAAAACTGAAAAGTCGAAAAACCAAAAAAATGGTTAACCGAAGAAAAATCAAAAAAACTGAAGCACTCGTAACTTTAAAAACCTAAAATTTAATAATATAAATAAATAAAAAAAATGAACAATTGAAAAATCCAAAATTTAAAAATCGAAAAATTGAAAAATCAAAAATTTAAACATTCGAGGTAAACCCAAAAATCAGAAAAACGAAAAGTCGAAAAATTCCAGAACCGAAATATTCAAAAATTTCAACATTAGAGTTCTTCACAATCGAAAAATTGAAATATCCTAAAACTGGAACATCGGCAAATTGAGAAATTCAAAAACTAAAAAGTCGAGAAATCAAAAAGTCGAAACTCGAAGTCGTAAAATCGTAAATTAAAAAATCGAAAAATTGAGAAATCGAGAAATCGGAAAATCTAACATTTAAAAAACTGAAATATTAAAATCGAAAAATCTAAACGTCAGCAAATCGAAAAATTGAAAAATCTAAAATGTAAAAACCGCAAAGCCAAAAACTCAAAAATTGAAAAATTTAAAATTAAAAAAATCCGTTAATCGAAAAATTGAAAACTCGACAATCTGAAAACTCAAAAAATTTTAAAATCGAAAAACTGAAAAATCGAAAAATCTAAAACCCAGAAGTCGAAAAATCGAAACAACAAAAATGTAAAAAATTAAATTTTAAAAATTTGAAAAACTGGAAAATAGAAATATTCAAAAATCAAAAAATCTAGAATTCTAAAAATTGAAAAATTAAAATGTCTACAAATAGAAGAATCGAAATACTGAAAAATCCCAAAACTGAAATATCGAAAAATTGAAGAATGGAGAAATCGAAATTTCAGAGAATCGAAAAATTGAAAAATCCAAGTTTTAAAAATCACAAAGGTAAGTAACAATTGAAAAATTTAAAATTAAAAAAAATCGGTAAATAGAAAAATCGAAAATTGAAAAATAGAAAAATATAAGAAGTCGAAAAATCGATAGAAAAACCTGAAATTTGAAAGTTTGAAAAATTGAAAAATAGAAATATTTAAGTATTGGAAAATCTGAAATTCTAAAACTGAAACAAAGAAAAATTGAAGAAAACTAAATTTTAAAAAACCACAAGTCGAAAACTCGAACAATCGAAAATCAAACATTGAAAAAATGAAAACAAAAAATTATAAATATTTTAAAATAAAAAAAAATTCGACAAGTCGAAAAATCAGAGAAACGAAAAGTCGAAAATCTGAAAAATCGAGAAATCGAAAAGTCGAAATTCGAAGTTGAATAATCGTAAATTTAAAAGATCGAAAAATTGAAAAATCAAAAAGCTGAAAAATCGAGAAATCGAAAAATTGAAAAACCAAAAAGGGATTAATCGAGGAATTAAAAAATTGAAAAATGTTAAAATTAAAAATCTAAAAAATCGAAAAATCATAAAGACGAGAGGTCGAAATATGGAAAAATCGAAGAAATATTGAAAAATTCAAAAACTGACATCCGTGAATTTCAAAATCAAAACATTGAATAATTGAAAAATCGACAACTTGGAAGTTGAAAAATCGGAAACTTAAAAAATAGAAAAATTGAAAAATAAAAGCTTCAAAAATCGAAAAATCGAGGAAATGAAAAATTGAAAAATCAGAAAATCGAAAAAGTCAAACATTGAGAAAATCAAAAATTTTAAACTAGAAAAAAAACCGTAAATCGAAAGATCATGAAATTTTAAAAATTGAAAAGTTGAGAAACCAAAAATTGGAAAATCGAAAAACTGAAAAATTGAGAAATCGAAAAACGAAAAAATTGAGAAATAAAAAATTTGAAGAATCTAGAAATTGAAAAATCCCGACACTGAAACATGCAAAAATTGAGTAAGAGAAAAATTGAAAATTGAAAAGTCAAAAAAGCAAAGAATTAAAAAAAACTGGAAAATCCTAAAACTGAAGTATCGAAGAATTGAGAAATCGAAAATTTAACAAAGTGAAAAATTGAAAAATTGAATAATTTAAAATTTAAAAATCGGAAAATTGAAAAATCAAAAATTTAAAAACTCGAGAAATTGAAAAATCTGAAAAAGGAAAAGTCGAAAAATTGAAGAATCGAAATATTGAAAAATCCCGAAACTGAAATATTTAAGAATCGAAAAACTGAAAAATTCCCAAACTGAAACATCGATAAATTGAGAAATTGAAAAATTGAAAAACTGAGAAATCGGAAAATCGAAACTCGAAGTTGAAAAATCGCAAATTTAAAAAATCGAAAAATTGGAAATTCAAAAACCTGGGAAATCGAAAAATTGAGAAATCCAAAATTTGAAAAGCCAAAAAAAAACGATTAATCGAGAAATTGGGAAATCGAAAAATCGAAGAAACAATGAAAAATTCAAAAACTGAAACGTTCGTAAATTTAAAAATCTGAAAATTGAAAAACTGAAAAGCGAAAAATCGACAAGTCGGAAGTCGAAAAATCGGAAATTTAAAAAATCGAAACAGTGAAGGAATGAAAAACCGAAAAATCGAAACATCGGGAAATCGAAAATTTAGAAACGTGAAAAATTGTTGAAATGTTGAAAAATTGAAAAGTCGTAAAACTAAAACATCGGAAAATTGAGAAATCAAAAAAGGAAAAATCGAGAAATCGAATTCAAATATCTAAAAATTGAAAAACCCCGACACTGAAACATCGAAAAATTGAGTAAGAGCAAAAATTGAAAAGAATTAAAAACTGCAAAATCCAAAACGAATTGAGAAATCGAAAGTTGAAAAATCGAGAAATCGAAACATCAAAAAATTGAAAAATCCAAAGTCCAAAATCGAAAAATCAGAAAAACAAAACGTCGTAAAACTGAAAGATTGAAGAATCGAAATATTGAAAAATTTCGAAATTGCAATATTTATGAATCGAAAAAATGAAAAATTCCAAAACTGAAACATTCGTAAATTTAAAAATTATCTAAACACTGAAAAATTGAAGAATTGAAAATCTGAAAAATTGAAAAATGGAGAAGTCGAAAAAGTGAAAATTCGGAAAATTCAGAAATCAATGAATTGTTATATATCTACAATTTTGATTTTTTTTCCAAAAATGTGGATATATTTTATAAGATTTAAATATACATGTCCTAATGTAAAATTTGGAGATGAAGTCGTTCAGCAGACAAAATACATACATATCAAAAATGCGGTATACGCAGATTGCATATTATCAGCTCTCTACTTAAACTCACCCTCTGGAAAATTTTGGGTTTAATCAAACCCCTCACCATAGCCAAAATTATGCTAACTAAAGGATGCGTGTTAATCACATAGACACCTTTCAGTGGAATCGAATACACTTCCTGCAACCATTACGACAATAAATCATTGCATTTCCGACATTTACAAACATACTTTATAAAACCTTACAGCTTTGACCATGAAAAGAGGAGTCACTTTTAATATAGTCCTCATATTGATCCCTTCCATATCAACAATCCCAATATCTCCAACCATCACATCTTCTTTTAACCGCAACTCCTGCAAGTTATTGGCCATTTTTACAACGTCGTAAGGCGACAATTTATGCAACATGTCTTTATTCCGACACTTGAGGACAAACACTCTGCACATCTCCGGGGTCATTTGTGGCAACGGCAGTAAGTAGAATATTTTTAAAATCTCTTTTAAGTTGGAACATTTGGGATTTACATTTTCGAAAATATCAGGCAGTTGACTTCGCAGGGTGTAGTACATGTCGATTTTGCGCTTCGTCTTGTCCATTTTGCACTTGTTAAGGAGGAAAAAATTTTGCAGACTTTTGTCATCTGGAAAATTCATCAACACGTACTGTAAACATTAACTAGTTCTCGTTTTACCTAGAACTTCTGGAAGATGAGGTTGCGACTCCATCCAGCTTTTTAAAATTTGCACGTCCTGGGCTAGCGATTCTTCAGTTTTTTGGTAAAGTCGGGCCACTGACTCAAGAATATCGTTTCCATAGTGAAGTAAAAGCGATCGTTTTTCCATTTTTTAATTGAAATCACTCAGGTTTTGCAATTTTAACTAAACTAGTTTGAAATATCAATGATCATTTCTTCCACGTATGGTAATTTATTCCGGTGGTAGGGGTTATGTATGCAAATATAGTCAATTTTGCTAAAAATTAATATTTATTTAATTGTCGATGAACCGGTTGGTTTTGCAAAAAATAGTTTCCGATAAACCGGACTTAACCAAAATAAATTATCAACTTTTTGTGGACTTGTCACATTTTGGAATTTGTCACATTCTTGTTAAATGAAGTTTAGGTATAAAATTTTGAAATAATGTCATTAATTTTGAATTTAAAAGATCAAGGGACAAAAACTTGGCTTAGAATGGAATTTTACAGGGAATCAAAATTACTGACTGGTTGTATATAACTGAATAACCGAAACATCAAAAATTCGAAAAATTAAAATATCGGAAAATCGAAAAATCTATGAAAGTGAAAAACTCCTGAAGTTGAGATGATGAGAAAAATAGATAAACCTAAAAATTCAGAAGTTCAAGAAATTTTAAAAATCGAAAAACTGAAATGTCAAGAAATCGAATAAAAAAATCGTAAAATCGAAAAATTGAAAAATCTAAATATGTGAAACTTAAAAAATCAAGAAATTGAACAATAAATAATTTAAAAATCACAAGTTTTAAAATTGAAAAATAGAAATATTGAAGAACTGAAAATTCGAAAAATCGAGAACTCGAGAAAATGAAAAGTTTAATATTTAAAAAATTGAAAAATTAAGATATTAAAAAATCGAAGAATCGAAAAATCCAAACATCAGAAAATCGAAAAATTGAAAAGTCTAAAATTCAAAAACCGCAAAGCCGAAAATTCGGAAAATCGAAAAGTTGATACATAGTTGAAAAATTCAAAAATTTGAAGTAAGAAAGTCAGTAAATGAAAAAGAAAATCGAAAAATTGAAAAATAGAAGTGTATAAAACTACGTAGAATCTAAAGATCGAGAAATCGAAACATTAAAAAACAGAAAAATCTAAAATTTAAAAATTCGAAAAATTGAAAACTAGAAATAAATACATATTCAAGAATCGGAAAATCTAAAATTTTAAACATCGAAAAATTAAAATACATATCTACAAATTGAAGAATCGAAATATTAAAGAATCCCAAAACTGAAATAACGAAAAATTGAAGAGAAAGAAACTCGACAAATCGAAAAGTTAAAAATTGAAAAATTTAAAATAAAAAAATCGGTAAATTGAAAAATCGAACTACTGTAAATTTTTAAAATCAAAAAATTAAAAAACCGAAAAATCTAAACTTAGAAGTCGAAAAATCGGAAGATTAATATTCATGATTCAGAAAATCAAAAATTTAAAAAATTGCGAAATTAAAATATCTACAAATTGCAGAATTCAAATATTGAAAAAATCCCAAACCTGAAACATGGGTAAATTGAGAAATCGAAAAACTGTAAAACCGAGAAATTGAAAAGTTGAAAAACCGAAAAATTGAAGAATCGAAAAATCGAGAAGTCGGAAGGTCGATAAATGAAAAAACCAATCATGGAAGAAAAAATGAATAGAAAAATTGAAAAATCCCAAAACTGATGCGTAACAATTTAAAAATTTAAAAATTGAAAAATCGAAAAATCGACAAATCGGAAGTCGATAAAATGGAAATTTAAAAAATCGAGAATTAGGAAAAATCAAAAGACAATCGGGAAATTGGAGGTTGAGAAAACGGAAATTTAGAAACGTCAAAAATTGAAAAATTGAAATGTCGAAAAATGGAAAAGTCGTAAATAACTGAAGCATCGGAAAATTAAGAAACCAAATGAAAAAATCGAGAAATCGAAAATTTGAAGAATCTAAAAATCGAAAAAATTGAAGAATTGAAAAATCTAAAGTATAAAAATCGAATAAATTGAAAAATAAAAAATTAAAAAAATTATTAAAAATAATTGAAAAATCCCGATACTGAAACATCGAAAAATTGAGTAACAGAAAAACTGAAAGAGTAAAAAATTGAAAAACACCAAAATCCTAAAACGGAAATACGAAGAACTGAAAAATCGAAACGTCAAAAAATTGAAAAATTGAAGAATTGAAAAATCTAAAGTATAAACATCGAAAAATTGAAAAATAAAAAATTAAAAAATTCGAGAAATCGAAAAATCAGAAAAACGAAAAGTCGAAAAATTGAAAAATCGAACAAACGAAATTTTGAAAAATTCCAAAACTAAAATATTTAAGAATCGAAAAATTGAAGAATTAAAAAACTGAAAAATCAAAAAATCAAAGAATTGGCAAATCGAAAAATTGAAAATTTAAAAACCTTAAAAATTGAAAAATTGAAAAATCTAAAATTTCAAAATTTAAAAAATCATAAAGACGAAAAGTCTAAATATCGAAAAATTGAAAAATCGAAGAAAAATTGAAAAATTCCAAAACTGAAACAACTGTAAACTCAAAAATATAAAAATTGAAAAATTGAAAAGTTGACAACTCGAATGTCGAAAAATCGGAGACTTAAAAAATCGAAAAATTGAAAAAAACCTGAAAAATTGAAGACCAAGAATTGAAAAGCTGATAAGTCGAAAAATTAAAAAGTCGTAAACCTAAAACTTCGGAAAATTAAGAAATCGAAAAACGAAAATTCGAGAAATCGAAAAATTAGGAAAGCGAAAATTTAAAATCGAAATATTGAAAAATGTCATAACTGAAATTCTTATTTAAGAATCGAAATCGTAAAACTCAAAAGTCAGAAAATTGAGAAACCAAAAAACTGAAAAATCGAGAAATCGAGGAATTGGGAAATCGAAAAACTGAAAATTTAAAAACCTTAAAAATTAAAAAACTGAAAGATCTAAAATTTCAAAATCTAAAAAATTTCAAAATCATAAAGACGAAAAGTCTAAATATCGAAAAATTGAAAAATCGAACAAAAATTGAAAAATTTCAAAACTTAAAAATATAAAAATTGAAAAATTGAAAAAAAAAACCTGAAAAATCGAAGACTTTAAGAATTGAAAAACTGAAAAGTCGTAAACCTAAAACATTGGAAAATTGAGAAATCAAAAAACGAAAATTCGAGAAATTGAAAAATTAGAAAAGTGAAAATTGAAAATCGAAGTATTGAAAAATGTCAAAACAGAAATATTTAAGAATCGAAATCGTAAAACTCAAAAATCGAAAAATTGAGAAATCCAAAAACTGAAAAATCGAGAAATCGAAAAGTTGGAAGTTGAAGTCGGAAAATCCTAAATTTAAAAACGTTAAAAAATGAAAAATTGAAAAATCTAAAAGTTAAAAATCTAAGAAATCGGAAAATCATAAAAACGGAAAGTCAAAATATCGAAAAATTGAAAAATCCAAGAAAAATTGGTGAATATCCGTAAATTTAAAAATTTAAAAATCTAAAAATTGAAAAATCAAAAATTTAAAAATTCGAGAAATCGAAAAATCTGAAAAACGTATTAAAGTTGAAAAAATGATTAATTGAAGAATCGAGATATTGAAAAATCCCAAAACTGAAATTTTAAGAATCGAAAAATTGAAAAATTCCAAAACTGAAACATGGCTAAATTGAGAAATCGGAAAATTGAAAAAGTGAGAACTTGGAAAGTTGAAACTCGAAGTCCAAAAATCGTAAATTTATAAAATCGAAACATTGAAAAATCAAAAAACTGGGAAATAGAAAAACTGATAAATCGAAAAATTGAAGACTTCAAAAATTGAAAAATTAAAAATCTAAACAAAATCCTAAAAACGAAAAGTTGAGAAATATCGGAAAATTAAAGAATCGAAGAATAGAAAAATTAAAAAATTCCAAAACTGAAACATTTTTAAATTTAAAAATCTAAAAGTCGCAAACTTAAGAAATCGACCAATTAAAAAATAAAAACCCAAAAAATTGAAAAATTGAAGAAATTAAAAACCGAAAAATCAGAAAATCGAAAATTTAGAAACGTGAAAAATTGTTGAAATGTCGAAACATTGAAAAGTCGTAAAACTAGAACAAATAATCGGAAAATGAAGAAATCGAAAAATTAAAAGACCTCAAAATCCTAAAACTGAAATATCGAATACCTGAGAAGTCGAAAGTTGAAAAATCGAAACATCGAAACATGAAAAAATTGAAAAATTGAAAAATCCAAAGTTTAAAGGTCGAAACATTGCAAAATCAAACATTTTAAAAATAGAAGAACGTCGAAAAAGTGAAAAATTGAAGAATCGAAATTTTGAAAAATCCCAAAACTGCAATATTTAGAATCGAAAAATTGAAAAATTCCAAAACTGGAACATCGGTAAATTTCTAAAAATCGAGAAATCCAAAAATTGAAACTCGAAGTCGAAAAATCATAAATTAAAAAATCGAAAAACCGAAAAATCGAATAATTAAAGAATTTAAAAACTGAGGGATTGAAAAGTCGAAAAATTGGAAAACCAAAAAAACTATTAATGGAGAAATTGGGAAGTCGAAAAATCTAAAATTTAAAAATCTAAAAAAATTGAGGAATCATAGACACGAAAAGTTTAACATCGAAAAATTGAAAAGTCGAAGACAAATTGAAGAACCGAAAAATTGAGAAATTACAAAAGTGAAATTTCCGTAAAAATAAAAATCTTAAAATTGAAAAATCGACAACTCGAAAGTCTAAAAATCCGAAACTTAAAAAACGGTGAATTGAAAAACTGAAAAATCGAAAAATCGTGAAATCGAAAATTTAGAAACGTCAAAAATTGAAAAACTGAAAAATCTAAAAGTTAAAAATCTAAGAAATCGAAAAATCACAAAAACGGAAAGTCGAAATATCGAAAAATTGAAAAATCCAAGAAAAATTGGTGAATAGAAAAATTGAAAAATCCCAAAACCGAAATATCCGTAAATTTAAAAATCCAAAAATCCAAAAATTGAAAATTCGAGAAATCGAAAAATCTGAAAAACGTAAAGAAAAAAAAATGATTAATTGAAGAATCGAAATATTGAAAAATCCCAAAACTGAAATTTTAAGAATCGAAAAATTGAAAAATTCCAAAACTGAAACATCGCTAAATTGAGAAATCGGAAAATTGAAAAAGTGAGAACTTGGAAAATCGAAACTCGAAGTCCAAAAATCGTAAATTTATAAAATCGCACCATTGAAAAATCAAAAAACTGGAAAATAGAGAAATCGACAAATCGAAAAATTGAAAACGTCAAAAATTAAAAAATTAAAAATCTAAACAAAATCCTAAAAACGAAAAGTTGCGAAATATCGGAAAATTAAAAAATCCCAAAACATCTGAAACATCTTTAAATTTAAAAATCTAAAAATCGGAAACTTAAGAAATCAACCAATTAAAAAATAAAAACTTAAAAAATTGAAAAATTGAAGAAATTAAAAACCGAAAAATCAGAAAATCGAAAATTTAGAAACGTGAAAAATTGTTGAAATGTCGAAAAATTGAAAAGTCGTAAAACTAGAACAAATAATCGGAAAATGAAGAAATCGAAAAATTAAAAGACCTCAAAATCCTAAAACTAAAATATCGAATACCTGAGAAGTCGAAAGTTGAAAAATCGAAACATCGAAACATGAAAAAATTGAAAAATTGAAAAATCCAAAGTTTAAAGGTCGAAAAATTGCAAAATCAAAAATTTAAAAAATAGAACGTCGAAAAAGTGAAAAATTGAAGAATCGAAATTTTGAAAAATCCCAAAACTGCAATATTTATGAATCGAAAAATTGAAAAATTCCAAAACTGGAACATCGGTAAATTTCTAAAAATCGAGAAATCCAAAAATTGAAACTCGAAGTCGAAAAATCATAAATTAGAAAATTTTGGGTTTAATCAAACCCCTCACCATAGCCAAAATTATGCTAACCAAAGGATGCATGTTAATTACATGCAAATATAGTCAATTGTGGTAAAAACTAATATTTATTTAATTGTCGATGAGCCGGTTGGTTTTGCAACAAGTAGTTTCCGATAAACCGGGTTTAACTAAAAAAATTATCAACTTTTTGTGGACTTGTCACATTTTGGAATTTGTCACATTCTTGTTAAATGAAGTTTAGGTATAAAATTTTGAAATAATGTCATTAATTTTGAATTTAAAAGATCAAGGAACAAAAACTTGGATCAGAATGGAATTTTACAGGGACTCAAAATTAGTGACTGGTTTTAGTGACATTAATCGAAACAATTTGTAGTTAATTTATAATTAAACCTTGGAATTTATAGGTACAACCTTGTGTCACAGTTTGAATAAAATAAATCACTAGAGGCCCGGAATTAATAAATAGGAAGCTATTCTATGGAACGAAATTTGATATTTTCTGAACTCTATTTAATCTACAAATATCAGAATTTTTACAGTTGTAGTTAACATAGTAATTTTGCCATAAATTCAACAAATATTAATCAATGTCTAATTTTTTGAAATTTCCATGAAATCCTAAAATTTCGTCGTTTTCCTTTTCAAGTTCGGAGGGTCTGAGACTCTCGTTCACCCTCAGTTCGTCCAGTAGGTCGAAACGTTCTTGATATGATCGAAACCTACGCTGCGTTAATTCTAAAAATTCAAATCAAACAACAGTGTAAACTAAAATGGTATCAGTACCATGCAACTGCTCGATTGACTTTTCGGTACCACCGTAATCGCTTGGTAACATTTCTAAAGGAAGGTGCTCCCTTAAGATGCTTGTGTCTTTGCAAACATGAATCTAAATCTCAAAATAAGTTAATTGTTCACTATCAAGTACGTCTCTCACCCTTTCGAAGATCTTAGGTTTTAGGAAAGCCTTGATGACTGTCATTAGGGTACTGACATAAGGGACAGTATTAACAATGAACACACGCTTCAGAGGAAGCGAATACACCTACAAGAAAGAAAACATTGTCACAGTCTTGTTGGTTTTTAGTTTAAGTACTTACTTTATAAACAGTCATAGTTTTGGCAGCATAAACTGGCGTCAGTTTCGACAAAAACGGTATAGTCATCCCATCCATGTCAAAAATAATCACCTCACCAAACATGATATCCTGCTTTAATCTCATTTCTGCCAAGTTAGTCGACATTCTAAACACGTCGTAGGGGTCAACCTGTTCTATTTTGCCTTTAATTCGGGACTTGTAAATCATCACCCTGTACATTTCCTTGGTCATTTTTGGCAGCGGCACGTAGTACATCATCTCCGCCACTTGCTTCATGTTGGGACAAGTCGGGTTCATTGTTCCCGCGAAATCAGGCAGCTTACTCCGGAACGAGTAATACATATCGATCCCCTTTTTCGCCCTTTCGGTCCGAAATTTGTTCAAAATCAAAAAATTTTCCACGCTGTGGTCGTCTAAAAATTTGTGTTAGTGTTAGAAGTCGGGGGTGAGGCCGCTTACCTAACATTTCGGGGAGGTGATGCTGGGTTTTCATCCAGTCTTTCAACTTTTGCACCTCTTCGGATAGAGATTCTTCTGTTTTGTCGTATATTTGCAGAATTGAGCTCCGAGCGGTGCTGGGGTTGTGAAATATGTTTATCTCATTTGCCATTTTTTTTTCTTGTGGAGTGGAAGAGTAAAGTTTTCGAGATAACGCGAACTGCTGATCGACTACTAATAAGGGACTTTTAGGAGTCGCATTAAATAAATTTTGTATTGATTAGGTAAAACGGGTTTCGAGTGCGTGATTACATCATTTATGTTTTCTAGTTATGATAAACTTTTCGGTGGAGGTTGCGTTACGCATAATTCCAATCAAGGTTGACTACATTGGTGATCGTTTTGTCTGAAATAATTCATTGCTGGTGCGTTTATAGCAGTGAATGAACCATAATAATTTTTTTCATTACAGCTTAAAGATTCAGAATTGTTGTGCTTTTGAAGAGGTCGTCATATTCTTCAAATTTAAGTTTCCATAGGTAACTCGCACACATTTTTTATTAACCGTGGGTGTTAAATTAAAAATGGTAACATCTCCGAAAATTTAAAAATTTCCAAAATTGAAATGATAAAAAATTTGGAAATCGGGAAATCGAAAATCTAAAACAATTGAATAATTAAAATATCCAAAATATTGGAGAATCGAAAAATTGGAACATGAAAAAGTCGAAAAATTGAATGAAGAATCCAAAAACTGGAAAGTCGAAAACTTTTAAAAACCGAAAAGGGGAGAAATCGAAAAATCGAGCAATCGAGGCATCATTTTGTTAGTCAATAAATCTATATTATTATTAATAAATAAATACAGATATTGGAAAATTTCCAAAAGTGAAATTCTAAAAAATTGAGAGATCGAAATTTTGAAATATGTATCTGAAAACCGAAAAATCCAAAAATTTAAAAAATGGGAAAATCGGATGTCAAGAAATCGAATTACAAATTCATAAAATCGAAAAATTGAAAATTCAATAAACTGAAAAATAAGAAGTTTTAATTAAGACTCGAAAAAGTGAAAAACAGAAATATTGATGCACTGAAAAACTGGAAAATTAAAAAATTGAGAAATCGAAAAATTGAGAAACCCAGAAACCCAGAAATCGTGAAATCGAAGAAAGAAAAACCTAAAATATATATAGAACTGAAAAATTAAAATATCCAAAAATTGAAGAATCGAAAGATTGAAATATAAAATATAAAGGAAACTTAAAAAAAAGAAAAATTGAAAAATCTAATATTTAAAAATCCAAACGTCGAGAAATTGAAAAATTAAAGTATCGAAGAATTGAAGAATCAAAAATTGAAAAATCTATAATTTAAAATTTCGAAAGATTGAAAAATTAAAATACATAAGAATTGAAAAATCGAAAAAGTGAAAAATGAGAAATATTGAAAAATTCAATAACTAAAATGTCGAAAAACTGAAATATTTAAGAAAATCATAAGAATTGACAAATTTAAAAATCGAGAAATTGAAATAGCAAAAATCGAAAAATTGAAAAATTCAATAAACTGAAAAATAAAAAATTTGAAGACACGAAAAACTGAAAAACAGAAATATCGATGCACTGGAAAACTGGAAAACCAAAAAATTGAGAAACCCAGAAACCCCGAAATCGCGAAATCGAAGAAAGAAAATCTAAAATGTACATAAAACTGAAAAATTAAAATGTACAAAAATTGAAGACTCGAAACATTGAAATATAAAATATAAATGGAAACTTTAAAAAATCGAAAAATTGAAAAATCTAATATTTAAAAATCAAAACGTCGAAATGTTAAAAAAATCGAAAAACCGAGAAACCGAAAAATCGGAAATGACGAAAAAGTGGGAAATCGAAAAATTGAAAAATTGAAACATCCAAATGTTGGAAAAATCAAAATGGAAAAAATTGGAAAATCCGAAAATTGAAGAATCGCACAACCGAAAATCAAGAAACTGAAAAATTAAAAAACTGAAATGAAAATCAAAAAATTGAAAAATCGGCACTTCGAAAACTTGGAAAATCGAAAAATTTAAAAACCGAAGAACTGAAAATCGAAAAATCAAAAATTTTGAAATCGGAACATTAAAAAACCGAAAATTGATCATCGAGAAAAAAAGTGAAAAATTTATAATTTGAAACTTCGAGAAATTGAAAAATTAAAGTATCGAAGAATTGAAAAATCAAAAATTGAAAAATCTACAATTTAAAAATTCGAAAGACTGAAAAATTAAAATACTTACATAAGAATTGAAAATTCGAAATACTGAAAACTCCAATAACTAAAATGTCGAAAAACTGAAAAATTTAAGAAAAATATAAGAATCGAAAAATTTAAAATTCGAAAAATTAAATTGTAACAACAAAAATCGAAAAATTGAAAATTCGAAACAGTAAAATAGTGAGAAATCGAAAAATCGAAAAGTCGAGAAATAGAAATATTTAAAGATCCCAAAACTGAAACATCGAAAAATGGAAAAATCGAAGAAAAACTGAAGATTCGAAAAATTGGAAAATCGCAAAACATCGGGAAATCGAAAAACTGAAAATCGAGAAGTCGAAAATTCGAAAATTTGAAAAATTAAAATATCGAGGATTTGAAGAATAAAAAAAAATGAAAATTCTTTAACTAAAAAAATTCGAAAATCTGAAAAATTAAAATACATAATTGAAGAATCGAAAAAGTAAAAAGTGAGAAATCGAAAAATCAGAAAATCGACTGACAAATTGAAAAATTTAAGAAAAATTGAAGAATCGGGAAATTGAAAAATCTAGGAACTGAAATATCAAAAATAGAAAAATAGAAAAATAGAAAATTTAAAACCGAAAAATTGAAAAATCGAAAAATTAAAACAACGAGAAATCGAAAAATTGAAAATTTCAGTTCTCGAAAAATTGAAGAATCGAAAAATTGAAAAATCCCAAAACTGAAAAAATCGAAGAAAAAATAAAGATTCAAAAAATTAAAACATTCCAAATCATCGGTAAATGTAGAAATCGAAAAACTGAAAAATCGAAAAATCAAAAAATCAAAAAATCGATGATTTGAAATACTGAAAAATCGCAAAACTTTAATTACGAAAAATTGAAAAATAGATGAAAAATTGAAGAATCGAGAACTTGAAAAATCGAAAAATTGAAAATCGAAAAATTAAAATAATGAGAAATCGAAAAGTCGAGAATTCAAAACATTGAAAAATCCCAAAACTGAAACATCGAAAAATGGAAAAATCGAAGAAAAACTGAAGACTCGAAAAATTGAAAAATTGGAAAATCCCAAAACATCAGTAAATTGAGAAATCGAAAGACTGAAAATCGAGAAGTCGAAAATTCGAAAACTTGAAGTCGAAAAATCGAAAATTTGAAAAATCAAAAGCTGAAAAATCGAACAATCAAAATTTTTAAAATCGTGCAATTAAAAATCCAAACATTTTATAATGAGAATAAACAAAAAATATGTATATAATTTATGAAATTAAATTATCGAAGAGTTAAAGGATAAAAAAATTAAAAATCTATAATTTAAAAATACGAAAGATCGAAAAATTAAAATACAGAAGAATTAAAAAATCGGATAATTGAAAAATGAGAGATCGGAAAATCGAAAATTCGAAATACTGAAAAATTAAAGAAAAATTGAAAAATAGAAAAAGTAAAATAACCAGAAACCGAAAAATCGAGAAGTCGAGAAATGGAAATATTGAAAAATTGCAAAATGGAAAAACCGACAAAACAATGAAAATTCGAAAAATTCAAAAATTCCAAATCATCGGTAAATGTAGAAATTGAAAAACTGAAAAATCGAAAAATCAAAAAATCGAAGAATTGAAATACTGAAAAATCGCCAAACTAAAATATCGAAAAATTGAATAATATATGAAAAATTGAATAACCGAGAAATTGAAAAATCGAAAAATTAAAAAATCGGAAATTTAACATCGAGAAAATCTGAATAAACTATAATTTAAATATTCGAAAAATGGAAAAATTAAAATATCGAAGATTTGAAGATTCAAAAAATGAAAATTCTTTAACTAAAAAAATTCGAAAAACTGAAAAATCGGGAAATTGAAAAATCTAAAATTTAAAACCGAAAAATTGAAAAATCGAAGAATTAAAACAACAAGAAATCGAAAAATTGAAAAATCGAAGAAAAACTGAAGATTCGAAAACACGAAGTTGAAAAATCGAAAATTTGAGAAATCGTAAACCTGAAAAAACTGAAAAACCTATAATTTCAAAATTCGAAATATTATAAATTAAAATAACAGAAGAATTGAAGAATCGAAAAATCAAAAAATCGAAGAGTCGAAGTACTGAAAAATCCCAAAACGAAAATATCGAAAAATTGAGAAATCTAAGAAAAATTGGAAAATAAAAAACTGAAAAATCGAGAAACTGCGACATCAAACATCGAAAAATTGAAAAATCGAAGAACTAAAACAACAAGAAAAGGTCTAAAAATCGAAATATTGAAAAATCCTAAATCTGAAACATCGAAAAATTGAAAAATGGAAGAAAAACTGATGATTCAAAGAAGTGAAAAATCCCAAAATATCGGAGAAATCTAAAAATCCGTAAACTAAAACATTGGGAAAGTGATAAGTCGATAAATTAAAAATAAGGAAATCAACCATTCGAAGAATCTAGAAAATGAAGGACCGAAAAATTAAAAATCCCAATACTGAAATATCGAACAACTGAAAAACCCCGATACCAAAATATCGAAAATTTGAGCAATTTTATTATTTAAAAAAATGAAAATTAGGATGCATAAGCTAAAAACTAAACACGGATTCATAAACCACTAATAGAGTACGTTATTTTATAAATTTTAAATAACATTTACTATCGTAAAATTTAACAAACATACAAAATTGACAACAATCGGTCTGGTAGTTTCGGAGATCATCCGTCTAATAAAAATTTGTACAGACAGATGCAAAGTAGTCCCTACTTTTTTTCTTTAATGTTAAAATCAGCAAATAATAGTCAGGTACGCACGAAATTATATTAAATTGGTGAATAGTTTGGTTGGCCTTGTACCTACTACACTTATTCAGTATATTTTTATTTATCTGAATAACACGCACTAGAAACAATTTATCTTCAAGTTAATGCAAATTCATTATCTAATAAGCCTATGCATTATTCATTTTTATGAGAACTGATTTAGTTTTTTGAGTGGATAATGATCTGTTGAAGTTTACATTTCAACTAAACTTTGATTCTGCAGGGGTTATATTTTTAAAAGACCGTAAAATTATGCTGTCCTGTTTTAATCAAGGAAACTGAAAATTTTCCATTAGTTCCACTTTGTGTCGATGTACAAGGTGAGTCACAAAACGCCCACTCCTCGATGTCTCAAATAACCGTGCAATTTTGTTATTGTTTGACTTTTTTTCAAAGTTTAATAGTAATAGTTAATGAGATAATGAGTATCGCGGGCTTATTGACTCAGGATTAGAAAAATAAATGATGCAGTCAACGAATTGTGAATATAAAAACCGGTTTTTTATTTATAATGCTAATTGCACCTATACAGTTATAATACCTAACTATGAATGATCCTGATCAACTTCATATTACCACGTATGGAATATTGTTTACATGTTTATAAACTAATTTACTACAATAATTCAAACAGGTGGATATGTAATGTTTTTTTCTAAATCAAGTTTACACCAATCAAAAAACTTGACCTCTACTTACATTTCGTGTGAAGTTTATACATTTTTACTTCCCGAGCGTAAGCAAAGGAAGTATTGTAATCGAGTCCGTCTAAAGTCACTAGATCTACTATTACTTTTAGAAAGTACGGCAAACTGCCTGTGGTCGGAATTCGACAGAGAGGAACCTAACCTATGTGTTAAACAAAGATAGCGCGAGGCTAGTAATTTTCGCTATCTGTCAACGAAAGTTTGATGTGTTTACGATTTGAGGTTACGACAGACTGTACTAGAATTATTGAGTTAACGGACCGGAAAGAACATTATTCCAGTCACAAAGTAACTCCAGCCCTATTCAACGAGAAAGTGTCACCGGTAACCAGCAAACAGTCGTGGAAGACGTGTTACCACCAAGGCAATTGACGGCCAAATGACAGTAACAGGATCGCCATACTGGAAGCAAAAAATACCTGCTGTCGAAAAGACGGAGCATAACAAGGACACAGATATATCTCTATTTCATAAAAGTTACTAATTGCCACACATTTCAAGATCGAGTCACATTAAGTCCGTCGGCCGACTCTCTACTTTTACGTTTTCTCGATCTTTCATGACCCCTAGAAGACGAAGAAATAGGTCTCCCATTTCCGTCTGTCTGTCCGTCTGTCCGTCTGTCCGTCCGTCTGTCCGTCCGTCTGTCCGTCTGTCCGTCTGCCCCCGGATTTTTATTAGACAGATAATCTCCGAAAGTACTCGACCGATTGTTGTGAAATTTTGTACTTATATTAAGAATATCATGTAGATGGTAAAACGCTAACCAAAATTTGTCTAATCATCCCCACCACTAATGCGATGACGTCACTTCAAAATTGTACATAGTAAATGGGTTTTCAATTGTATAAAATAACATAGTCCTACACATGTAGTTTACAACTCTGAATCGACTTTTCACCCGAAACGTCCAGATTTTTGGAAAAAAAATCAAAATTATAAAACAACATTTTGAAATTTAATTTTTAATCTGCTAACCAGAATGCTTTGAAATGTTGCAGATGTTTTAAGGCTATAAAGAGCATCATAAATTTTTAGTCAAAAAATATTTGCTTATCCCCTCCAAAAACTTGATGACGTCAGCTCAAAAGTTTGTGGAATAAATCATATCTAAAATGTACAAAATATGGTGAGTCTGTACTTGTGATCTATCACTCCATTCATATTTTTTGGATTTGCATATACAGGGTGACTCAAAAAAATTAATGAATGCGTAAATATATTTTATTGATTTAATCAGGAACTACAAAACCGAATGCTCTGAAATCTTGCAGATGTTTTAAGGTCATAAAGAGCATAATAAATGTTTAGTCAAAATATATTTGCTTATCCCCTCCAAAAACTTGATGACGTCAGCTCGAAAGTTTGCCGAATAAATCATATCTAAAATCTACAAAATATGATGAGCCTGTACTTGTCATTTATCACTCCATTCATATTTTTTGGATTTGCATATACAGAGTGACTCAAAAAAATTAATGAATGCGTAAATATATTTTATTGATTTAATCAGGAACTACAAAACGGAATGCTCTGACATCTTGCAGATGTTTTAAGGTTATAAAGAGCATAATAAATGTTTAGTCAAAATATATTTGCTTATCCCCTCCAAAAACTTGATGACGTCAGCTCGAAAATTTGCCGAATAAATCATATCTAAAATGTACAAAATATGATCAGTCTGTACTTGTGATCTATCACTCCATTCATATTTTTTGGATTTGCATATACAGGGTGATTCAAGAAAATAAATGAAAGCGTAAATTTATTTTACTGATTTACTCAGGAACTACAAAACCGAATGGTTCGAAATCTTGAAGATATTTTAAAATTATCATAAGCATGGTAAATTTTTGATCAAAACGTATTTTTTCAATTCAATTCAATTCTTTATTCATGTTAACAACACTACAGTGTTTTACATACGTCAATTTAGAGATTTAAAAAAACAAAATAGTAATAATAAATAAGGGCAATAGATACACATACACATCTACAAATACACACTATAAAGAAAACAGGTTGAAAGAGATAATTTACATTATCATGTCGCACATGAAGAATTCGTCAGTTGTGAAAAGCGCTTTTTTTAACAGATAGTTTTTAACTGTTAGTTTGAATTTATTATTAGGTAGGACTTTCACATATTGGGGAATTTTATTATAGAATTTTAAGGCTATATAATTCGGACTATTTTGGGACTTTGTTAGCCTATAATATGGGGTAAATAGCTCAGATTTGTTTCGTGTATTATAGAGGTGGATATCGCTATGTGTTTTGATGTCTTTCAAGCTGCCCCTGACATACATCAGACTCTCCAATATAAAAAGACATGGAAGTGTAAGTATGTGATATTGCTGAAACGCTGTTCTACACTCTTCCCTGTAACCTAGCCCACTGATTATTCGGATTGCTTTCCTCTGCAGACCGAAAACCCTGTGACTGTTTGCAGCCATACCCCATAATAAGATGCCATACGAAAAGATAGATTGACATAGTGAAAAATAAGCACAGCGCAGTACTCTACTTGATACTTTGTTCGCTAAGTTTCTTAAAATATGAATATTTTTTCTCAATTTATCACATGTATATTGTATATGTGCATCCCATTTTAAAGTTGGGTCTAAGTACATGCCTAAAAATTTTATTTCACTATTCTCAGAATTCCCTGTATCTCTCAAAGAGAATATGGCACTAACTGTCTTCTGAGCATTTAGCATTAGTTTATTAGCAGTGAACCAGTTTAATGCTTTCGATTGTATCTCGCACATTTCTTGCTTAGCTTCATTAAGATTGGTATCTTTACAATATATAGTTGTGTCGTCTGCAAATAATATATATTTTTCACGATTTGCAATGTCAGGGAGATCATTAACATAAATTAGGAATAGTAGAGGTCCTAAAACAGACCCCTGAGGTACTCCATTTTTTATTTCTCGCCTAGATGATAGTTCATTTTCGATTTTAACCGTCTGGTGTCTATTGGTCAAGTAGCTAGATAGTAGTTTGATACTGTTTTCTGAAAAGTTATATTTCCTTATCTTCTTAAGCAGAATATCATGCGAGACACAGTCGAAAGCTTTACTTAGGTCACAGAAGGTGGTACACATGAATTCCCGATTTTCAAATGTCTCTAGTATATTGTTTACTAAGCTTGAGATAGCGGTTATGGTATTCCGTGTTTTGCGAAACCCGTATTGAGACGAACTAAACATATTATTTTCTTCCAGGTATTCAGTTATTTGTTTCGTCAGGCATTTCTCCATTACTTTTGAAAAGATTGGAAGTAGCGCAATGGGCCGATAGTTAGATACTTCGTTTGGGTTTCCTTTTTTAAAAATTGGTACCACCAAGGCTTCCTTTAAGGTGTCAGGGAATATGTTTTCTTTAATAGAATGATTTATTAATTTTGTTAAGGGAATAACAATTATATTTAAGATATTTTTTACTAGTGGTGTGTTTAGCCCAAATATGTCATAGCTACTGCTATTTTTAAGTGAGGAAACAATATCCCGTATTTCTATATAAGTGACTTCCTTGAAAGAGAACGGTTGAAGACTAATTTTATTAACAATATTGGTGATAGGGTCTGCATTTACTTTATTCATGTTGTCTAGTAGAGACTGAGCTACATTTACATAGTAATCATTAAATGTATCTGGTGAAATAGTGTTCTTATTGATCGTCTTTTTTATTTTGTTTGGTCGATTTTCATCTATGATTTCCCACATGCGTTTAATCGAATTTTTTTTGGTCGTCCCCCCTAAAAAATTTATGACGTCACCACAAAATTTTGCTGAATAAATCCTATCTAAAATGTACAAAATATGGTGAGTCTGTACTTGTGATTTATCATTCCATTCATATTTTTGGATTTGCATATGCAGGGTGACTCAAAAAAATTAATGAAGGCGTGAATTTATTTTATCGATTTAATCAGGAATTACAAAACCGAATACTTTGAAATCTTGGGAATATTTTAAAGTTATTATAAGCATGGTAAACTTTTGTTCAAAATGTATTTGTTCATCCCTCCTAAAAAAATTGATGACGTCACCCTTAAATTTTGCTGAATAAATCCTATCTAAAATGCAAAAAATATGATGAGTTTGTACTTGTGATTTATCATTCCATTAATATTTTTTAGATTTTCTTAAGAGGTGGTTCAAAAAAATTAATGAAGTCAATTTATTTTATTGATTAAATTAAAGGCAACCCTTATTATTAGTATTACACCCCAACCAACCCAATTTGGTAGACACAAAATTTGTTAAAGGAAAAACTCGGTTGAAACATAAGGGTAGCACGCTTATTTACATCGACTTTAACATTACAGACCTGCATTTGTTTTATGCGCTCACTTGGTTCCGCGAATGTGAAATAGACATGTTTATAATGAACTAATTGTGAATTTCACCGTCAAGAATTAAAATAAAACCCAATGTTTTATATAATAAGCGGAAGTCGAAGCAATAAAACCGATGGTCGTTTTGTTTACAGTTTCTCTGTTTGACTCTCACGTATGCTGTTACGCCTGTCATCTTAAATTAAGAATGTTTATACATACACGATTTTCAGTTGTCTCTGATACGTATACGTGAGTAAATTGTTTCGTTATTTTATTGATTATAAGAAATCAATATTCAAAACGACCCAATTCATTTTCCCGAAAATTTGGGAATACAATAATTTTATTCTTAGTATTACACTACATCTATCCCAACTGATATACGTGTCCTTGCAAAAATGTTGATGACGTCATCACAATTTTTTTTTAAATTCCCACTACAAAAATGTAATGAGAAAAAAAAAACACAATAGGCATGCAGTCGTCAAGTTTCCGACAGCGAGGGAAGTACTGTCTAAACTCTTTAGACCAATTTTTTAAGCTTACCATTTTTCGACATTGCTATTTTAGTTTTTCAATTTTTTAATTTCTCAATTTTTTGGATATTTCTTCCAATTTTAGGATTTTTCAATATTTCGATTTTTTGATAGTTTTTTCTGGATTTTTTACTTTTTGGATTTCGAATTTTTCGTTAAATTTCATATTTTTCAATTTTTCGACTGTTTTATTCTTCGATTTCCCAAATTTTCAACTTCTCGATGTTTTAATTTTTCAATTTTTAAAATGTTTTTCTATATTTCGATTTTTTAAATTTTCGAATTTTTAAATTTATGATTTTCCAATTTTTCTTTTTTCAAATTTTTCGATTTTTCAATTTTTTGATTTCTCCATTTGTCGGTTCGAATTTTAGATTTTCGAATTTTTATTTTTTGATTTTTTGCTGCTTGGATTTCTCGATTTTCCAATTTTGCGGTATTTTAATTGTTCAATGTTTTAAATTTTAGATTTTTCGTTTTCTCGATTTTTTGATTTTTCAGTTTTTTAAATTTTGACGTTGCTAAATTTTCAGTTTTCCGATTTTTCAATTAATCTATTTTTGATTTTCCCATTTCTCGACTTCTCCAAGTTTCGATTTTTTAGTTCTTCAATTTTTCGATTTTTCGACTTTGCTTTTTTGGTTTTCGATTTCTCGATTTTCCACTTTTTTAATTTCTCAATTTTTGGATGTTTCTTTCAATTTTGGCGTTTTTCAGTACTTCGTTTCTTCGACTTTTCTATTTTTCGACTTTTGGATTTTTCGATTTTTCAATTTTTTATTTTTTGATTTTCTGTTTTTCGTTTTTTAAACTTTAGATTTTTCAATTTTTCGACTTCTCGATTTTCGACTCCTCGATTTGTCGTTCTTTTGATTACTGTTTTTTCAAATTTTGACGTTGCTAAATTTTCAATTTTCCATTTTTTTAATTTCTCAATTTTTGGTTATTTCATTCAGTTTTGGCATTTTTCAATATCTCGCTTTTAGATCTTTCGACTTCTGGATTTTTCGATTTTTTATTTTTTGGATATTCAGTTTTTCGTTTTTTGAACTTTAGATTTTTCAACTTTTCGACTCTTTCATATTTCGATTTCTCAATATTTCAACTTTTCGATATTTTAATATTTCAGTCTTTAAAATTCTAGTTTTTCCGACTTCTCCAGTTTTCAGTTCTCCTACGAGTATATATTTATTTTTCAATTTTCCGAATTTTTAAATTTTCGATTATTCAATTTTTTGACATCTCGATCTATTAAGATTCGGTTGTTTTGATGTTTTGATTGTTCAATCTCTCGATTTATATCAATTTTTCCATTTTTAACGTCTCGATTTTTTGATTTTGGCCGATTTCGGTTTCTCAGTTTTTCAATTTTTCTACTTCTCGACTTTTCGACTTCCCAATTTCTTGTTCTTTTGATTTTTCGACTTCTCGATGTCTCAGTTTTTGAATTTTTCGATGTTTCGATTTGCGGTTTTTTGATTTTCCAATTTTTTTATTTGTCGAGTTTCGATTTTTCGATTTGAGGATTTTTCAGGTTTTTGATTTTTTAAGTTTGCGATTTTTCGACTTTGCTTGTTTGACATTTCGATTTCTCAATTTTTCAATTTTTTAATTTCCCAATTTTTGGATATTACTTCAATTTTGTGATTTTTTAGATTTTGGATTCTTCAATTTTTTCCTGTATTTTTCAATTTTTCAACATTTGAGTTTTGGAATTTGTAGTATTTCGACTTTTCGAGTTCTGGATTTTTCAATTTCTCGACTTTTTACTGATTGGATTTTCAACTTTTAGTTTTTTAAACTTTAGATTCTTCAATTTTTCGACCGTTTTTAACTTCGATATCTAAAATTTTTCAATTATCCCATTATCCAATTTCTCGATTTTTTAATTGTAGATTTATTTTGATTTTTTCATATTTGATTTCTCGATTTTACAATTTTTCGATATTTGATATGTCAACTCTGTCTAGAATTTTTTTAAAATTTCTTAATAGCTGCATTTTTTGTCGTTTTTTATCGTAATTTTTTGTGACATATTTTGTTGCATTTTTATTGATTTTAAGATTTCATTGCCTGTTTATCGCCTTTTTTGTAGTATTTTTGTAAAACGTTTTGTTATTGCTTTTTTTGTTCCATTTTATTTTTTTTTTAATACCTCTTTTTGTCTGCTGGCTTTTTGTGTCGTTTTTTGTCTCTTTTTAACTTTTCTTGTAGCAGTTTTTCAGATATGGCTAGTGATCTTTTCTTATCGTGTTTTGCCATCTCTTTTTTGTTCTTCATTTTTTTGGTTGTTTTTTATTTTTTGTATATTTGATGGTAATTTTTTTAGCATTTTGTCGCTTTTTTATTATTTTTTAGGTCTTTTTGACATGGATTCTGGCTTCTTTCTTCAGGTTTTTTTGTAGTCTTTATGTGTTCCATTTTTTTATACTTTTTAATCGATGTTTTTATAGACCCTTTTTTTCTGTTTGGCTTCTTTTGTCGTGTTTTTGTATAATAATAATGATATGAATATATTAATAGTAATAATAATAATAGCTTTTTTGTGCTTTTTTAACCACTTTTTCTGCAGCCTTTTATTTCTAGGTTTATTTATAGGTTTTTTATTAGTTTTTATTGCGTGTTTTGTCCATTACTTTATTGCAGTTTTGTCGTTTTTTTGTCCCCTTGTTTATCTGTATTCTTTGTCACTTTATGTATCAAAGTTTACATCGTTTTTTTAATCGCATTTTTTAATAATGTGTTATTGTGCCTTTTTAATCGCTTGTTTGTAACCTTCATTTTTAATTATTTTTTTTGTCCCTTTGTTTATCATCTTTTTTCCTCAGTTTTTTTGCCACGTTTTGTGTTGAGTTTATATCATCTTTCCGTCTCTTTTTTTAATTATTTATTATTAGTCGGCTATTTATCACCTCTTTCCCTCTTTCCCTCCGACTATTTCTTATTTTATTATTGTCGCTTTTTCGTCATCTTTGTTTTTGTCGCTAACTTTCTATCTCTCCGTCACATTTTTGTGGTCTTTTGTATCATTTTTTAATCGCTCTTTTCTCTTTGTTTTTACTCTCTTTTTTTTGTTGCCGTAGCTGCTAAGATAACACTGACTTTGGCAAATGACATATTCTCTAAGAAAAGTGAGGGTGGGTGGGCGGGGCTACTACCTGCTAAGATAAGACTGATTTGGCAAATGAGTTATGACTTAAATAACGTATCCTAAGAAATTTAATTAAATTATTATAAGAGAAGACATTGGAGGCTCCAAAGCACCTTCATATTTTTTCCAAACAGGAATACCTAGAATCTCAAGATTGTTTTAAATTTTTCCAAAAAAAAACGGTGTCCCAAAATTGACTCAAAAACAGGTCAGCTCAGAATTTTCGGAAAATCGAACACAAAGTCCTTCAAAATTCTTAATCAATTTACAAAAAAAATCGCCATGGACTCCCAAAATAATACCATGGGTACCCAAACAGTGCGGCACTCAAGACTTTTTCAAATTCTTGAAAAATAAAACACTGAAAGCTCAAAAGATTTTTTCAGGTTCATCCAGCAGCAAAACACCATATTCCTTTAAATTTATCCGAAAATAAAACATGACAAGAGTGGACCCTTGGGGAACACCAGAGGTCTCTCCTGTATAATGGTCTGGAGATGGCAAAATTCACCTACTCAAGTACGAGGCAAAAATTTTGTCATTGATTCAGATAGACCTAGACTTGATAGTTTAAAAAGTAGCAGTTCGTGATTAACTGTATCAAATGCTTTAGAATAGTCAAGATAAATGACATCCAGTTAATTCATGCTCTCAAAGGTGCTGAATATCTCTTCAGAGATGCAAGTTAAGTTAGTCAAAGTTCATCTGGCAGTAAAGAAACCATTCAACTAATACACGAAATAATTTAGTGTTTTTTGTCACTGTTTTTTACCTTATGAAATGCAGATGACTTTTTAGAGTACGATTAAATCAATTTTGAAATTTGTTAGGCAAAACAGGTTTTTCACATCTATAACACTTTTTATATATTTTTTTCCTCATTATAATTAATTTTTTGATGCAGGGTTTTTTTTATATCAAGGTTAACTACACTGTCGGTAATTTTCCAGCATGTTATCGTTTTGTCATTTATTTGTTTATGTACCTACTCACTTTATACAAAGCTATGAATGAGAAAGAAAAGCTGGTGTAATTGGTGGTGACTTTATACAAGTTAAAACTTATTCTAAGCAGGTCATAGGGATCAATTTGCTCCAGTTTGTCTTTAAGTGGGTATTTTTCCACGAACACTCTGTACATATCCTTGGTCATTTTTGGTAAGGCTACATGGTACTTTAGTTTCCCCACGTCTTTCATGTTTTCTATTTTTTCTTTTGCTTGTTCTGCGTTACATTTATTTAAGACTAGAAAATTTTGCTTGTTTTATCATCTACAGATTTATCACATAATTGTGTTATCAGTCAAATACGAATTTATCGTTTGCTTACCCAAAATTGCGGGAAGGTTGCTGATCTTTCTTCCAGTTTTTTAAAATTCGGCCAATAATTCCTCAGTTTTGTTGAACACTCTCACAATTGAACTCAGAGATAAAATAATTCTTTGTCTTTTGGTATGTTTTACCTTATGAAGTGATCGTTTTGGAGTTCATCGACTACTAATGAAGAACTTTTAAGAGTTGCATCAAAGAAATTTCGTATCGTCTAGATAAAACAGGTTTCTCACGTATGATATATTACGTCATTTAATGACTTTTTGGTTCGTCTTAGTTATGATAAATTTTTCGACTGAAGTTCCACTGTGTATAATTACAAACAAGATTAACAACAATGGCATTATTTTGTCTGAAATAATCTCACTGATTGCAGTTTTTCAGTCGCCACAATACTTATCATAAACCAAACATAATACGAGTAAGTATTATCCATTCACGATCTTTATATAGTACAGTAGGTTTTGATATTTTTTCTTTAAGTTGGATAAACTGATTTGATGATTTAGTTTTTTGTCTGTCAGTAGTCTGATTGACATTTGCTTTAAGCTGGATTGCCACTTTTCTACAAATGTTTTAATTTTGTCAGATGTCAAATGTTTATTTATATTTCTGACATATTTTTAAACCCTTAATCTAATAAAACATAACCTAACGAAAAAAGTTCAGGGAATTTTTGTTCTTCTGCATCGAATACCAACAAACTCACTAGATTTTCATGAACGGATAATAAGCATGGAAAACAATATTTCGATAAAGTGCAAAATAAATTTTAGTCAATGTTTAACGTTTTAAAATTGCCATGATATCCCAAAAATTCGTCGTTTTCGTCTGCAAGTCTGGCTGGCCTTAAACTCTCATTCACTCTCAATTTATCCAGGAGATCGAAACGGTCTTGATATTCTTGATACTTAAGGGGGTATAATTCTACAAATTCGAATCAAAAAATATTGCAAACTAAAATGTTGTCAGTACCATGCAATTCCTCGATTGACTTTTCGGTACCACCGTAATCCCTTGGTAACATCTCTAAAGGAAAGTGCTCCTTTAAAATATTCGCGTCTTTAGACACATGAATCTAAATTCCTCAAAATAAATTAATTGTTCGTTTGGAAGTACACTTCTTACCCTTTCGAATATTTTAGGTGAGACGAGAGCCTTGATGATGCTTAGTAGCGTGTCCACGTAAGGGACACTATTAATTAAGTACACACCCTTCACTGGAAGAGAATATACTTTCTGTAACAAAGAAAATGTTATCATTTTGTTACTTATTTGTTTAGGTACTCACTGTATACAAATTTATGAATGTCATAAGAAAAGTTGGTGTCAGTTTTAACAAGTAACGTACGGAAGTCCCTTCTAAGTCAAAAATTATCACATCTCCGAACATGATATCTTCTTTTAACCTTATTTCTTGCAAGTTAGCAGCCATTTTAAGTGCGTCGTAGAGATCAATTTGGTCCAGTTTGTCTTTAGTTCGGCATTTAGCCACAAATACTCTGTACATATCCTTGGTCATTTTTGGTAAGAATACAAGGTATACTAGCGTTGCCACTTCTTTCATGATTGAACAACGAGGATTGATATTTTTGACCATATCAGGTACCTGACTTCGAAAGGTGTAGTACATGTCAATTTTAGCTTTTGCTTTTTCTTTGTTACATTTATTTAAGATTAAAAAATTTTGCACACTTTTGTCATCTGAAAATTTATTAATTAACAGTGAAATACGAGTTTATCGTTTGCTTACCTAAAATTTCGGGAAGGTGATGCTGATCTTTCATCCATTTTTTTAAGTTTAGGACATCTTCAGCCAACGATTCTTCAGTTTTATTGTATACTTTTACAATTGAACTCAGAGCGTTGCTTTGGACAGAAAATATTTCTGTGTGTTTAGGCATGTTTTACTTTATGAAGTGAGGGAATTAAAACTTTTAATAGAACAGGTTTTTTGTGTTTAGTTTAGTTTTGGAGGCTTCACTGTGCATAATTACAAACAAGGTTAACAACAATAACGTCGAAGTCGAAAAATCGTGAATTTAAAAATTCGAATAAATGAAAATTTGAAAACCTGAAAAATCGAAAAATTGAGAAGTCGACAAATTCTTTTTAAAATTTAAGAATAGCAAAACATTTAAAATGGATCCCCGTCAGACAGGTATACTTTTCAGTGAGTTCAAATTCTAAAATATAAATTTCTATATGATTACACATCTGGTTATGCAATAATATATTTCTCATAAGTTGTTTTTATCGTACAAATATCTGGGTATCAACAAACAAAAAAAAAAATATAAATTTACATAAATTTGTATAAAATTAATATATAATATATTATATTACTAATTATTTAAGAATAGATTAATTTTCCATTTAAAGCGCATTTTCACTTCTTTAGGAAAGAAGAAGAATTGTTTTGTTATTGGCAGTAAAACTTGGCGTCAGTTCTGATAGGAAAATTATATAATTATGGTGTATCTAACTTCCACACGAACGAATATTCTAGGACAGATTTCTAAACTGGACTTTTCTGTTTAGATACTTTACGTTTAAATTGTTCTTTAGTTGAAAAACAGTTGACAAAAAAGTGCCAAAATATTAAAATTTTAAATAACTAACTTTGACATATCCATTAATCTCCTGCAAATTTTGCGTGTGTTTTGTCATTGTTTTTTCCTTTATGAAGAGCAGAAGGCTTAAAAGATTTGAAGACAACACGAACCATTGATCAACTTTTGAGAGAACCATTAAATACATTTTTAAGTTGTTTAGCTGAAACCGGTTTTTCATATCTCATAGATGTAATACTGCAACATTTACTTTATATACAGGATTGTCCAAATAAAACGAAACAGACGGGACCGTAGAGGCTGTCTTTGATTATGTGTAAAATGATCGAACACTGGGATTAATTGTATCCAAAATAATTTCAATCTCAGTAATTTTCCAGCAGTCGCAGTATAATTAGAATTATATTAAATCTGAGGTATTTTTGAAGCGAACTTTTCAAGAAAACTATCTAATAATAATCTACAGCATGACCAGCTAGATATCAACATGCAGTAAAATTATTTTAAACTTACTTAAATTTGCAATTAGGTAATTCTACCCTTATTACATATATATCCATGGAAAAAAAATATTTCGATAAAGTGCAAAATAAATGTTAGTCAATGTTTAACTTTCTAAAATTGCCATGATATCCCAAAAATTCGTCGTCTTCATTTTCAAGTATGGCTGGCCTTAAACTTTCATTCACTCTCAATTTATCCAGTAGATCGAAACGATCTTGATATTCTTGAAGCTTTAGTTCGCATAATTCTAAAAACTCAAATCAAAAAGTACTCTAAATTAAAATGTTATCGGTACCATGCAATTCGTCGACTGACTTCTCGGTGCCACCGTAATCCCTTGCTAACATTTCTAAAGGAAAGTGCTCCTTTAAAATATTCGCATCGTTACACACATGAACCTAAATTCCTAAAAATAAATTAATTGTTCCTTTTAAAGTACGTCCCTTACCCTTGCAAATAATTTAGGTTTAACGAGAGTCTTAAAAACAGATAGTAGTGTGCTGACGTAAGGGACAATATTAATTATGTACAGACCCTTCAGTGGAAGAGAAAATATTTTCTGTAAGAAAGAAAATGTTATCATTTTGTTATTTATTTGTGTATATACGATACCCACCTTATACAAAGTGATGACTGTCACGAGAAAAGCTGGTGTTAGTTTTGACAATAAACGCATGGATGTTCCTTTTAAGTCAAAAATGATCACATCTCCACACATAACATCTTCTTTCAATCGAATTTCATGCAAGTTGTAAGCCATTTTAAGTAGGTCATAGGGATCAATTTGCCCCACTTTGTCTTTAATTCGGTATTTCTGCAGGAACACTCTGTACATATCCTTGGTCATTTTTGGTAAGGGTACATGGTATATTAGCTTATCCACTTCTTTTATGTTTGAGCAACGAGGATTCATATTTTCGGCTAAATCAGGTACCTGACTTCGGAAACTGTAATAATTGTCTATATTTTTTTTTTGCTTTTTCCACATTACATTTATTTAAGATTAGAAAATTTTGCACACGTTTGTCATCTATAAATTTATTAATTAACAGTGAAATACGAGTTTATCGTTTGCTTACTTAAGATTTCGGGAAGGTGATGCTGACCTTTCATCCAGTCTTTTAAGTTTAGGACATCTTCAGCCAACGATTCTTCAGTTTTGTCGTATACTTTTAGAATTGAACTCAGAGCGTTGCTTTGGACAGAAAATAGTTCTGTGTCTTTAGGCATGTTTTACCTTATGAAGTGAGAGGATTAATGGTTTTGGAGTTGATTGAATGTTAATAAAGGAATTTTTGAAAAAATTTATAGGTAAAACGGGTTTTTCATGTCTGATATTTTACGTCAATTAATTTCTTTTTCGTTTTTCTAGTTGCATAGTGCATAATTACAAACAAGGTCAACAACAATGCCATTGATTTTGTCCTAAATATTCTGATAATAATTTAATCAACGCAGCTTTTTTTACCTTTTATTGCATCTTAAAAATTCAGAACTGTTTTGCTTTTGAAGGCTCCATTGATTTAACGGCAGTTTTTCCAGTTTATCGTCATATTCCTCCAATTTAAGTTTCATTTGGTAACTCTAAACATGTTTTAAAAAACATGCACTTCAAATCAAAAATGGCAAAATTGAAGATTCAAAATACTGAAACACGTCAACACTGAAATATCGTAAATCTGAAATATCGAAAAATTGATTCTTCAGTTTTGTTGAAAACTTGCACATCTCAACTCAGAGCGTCGTTTTGGTTATGAAATGATTTAGGGTGTTTTGTTATTATTTTTTACCTTATGGGGTGCAGATGGCTTAAAAAGTTTAAAGATAACTCGAATCGTTGATGAACTTTTGAGTGTACCATTATATAAATTTTGTAGTCTGTTAGCTAAAGCAGATTCTTCACATCTATGATCCATACAGCATTTACTTTTTATATATTTTTTCCTTTCTTCGTTATACATATTTAGGTTAATTACACTGAGTTCCATTGTATCCAAAATAATCTCACTGTCATTAATTTTTAATTTTCAGCAGTTCGAGACATATTTGAAGTGAACCTTTCAAGAAAACTATCTAATAAATAATAATCTACAGCGTGGCTACCTAAATATCAACATGCAATAAAATGATTTTAAAATACATAAATTTTCAATAAACTAATTGTACCCTCATTATACAGATGTCATACTAAGCAAGGCAAATAATCTTTGGATAAAGTACAAAATAAGTGTTAGTCAATCTCTAACTTTTTAAAATTGCCATGATATCCCAAAAATTCGTCGTTTCCGTCTGCAAGTCTGGCTGGCCTTAAACTCTCATTCACTCTCAATTTATCCAGGAGATCGAAACGGTCTTGATATTCTTGATACTTAAGGGGGTATAATTCTACAAATTCGAATCAAAAAAGATTGCAAACTAAAATGTTGTCAGTACCATGCAATTCCTCGATTGACTTTTCGGTACCACCGTAATCCTTAGGTAACATCTCTAAAGGAAAGTGCTCCTTTAAAATATTCGCGTCTTTGCACACATGAATCTGAATTCCTCAAAATAAATTAATTGTTCCTTTTAAAGTAGTTCTCTTACCCTTCCGAATAATTTAGGTGTGACGAGAGCCTTGACGATGGTTAGTATCGTTTCCACGTAAGGGACACTATTAATCAAGTACACACCTTTCAGTGGAAGAGAATATACTTTCTGTAAGAAGGAAAATGTTATCACTTTGTTATTTCTTTGTATAGGTACTCACTTTATACAAAGTTATGAATGTCATCAGAAAAGTTGGTGTCAGTTTTGACAAAAAACGTACGGAAGTCCCTTCTAAATCAAAAATGATCACATCTCCGAACATGATATCTTCTTTTAACCTTATTTCTTGCAAGTTAGCAGCCATTTTAAGTACGTCGTAGAGATCAATTTGGTCCAGTTTGTCTTTAGTTCGGCATTTAGCCACAAATACTCTGTACATATCCTTGGTCATTTTTGGTAAGAATACAAGGTATACTAGCGTTGCCACTTCTTTCATGATTGAACAACGAGGATTGATATTTTTGACCATATCAGGTACCTGACTTCGAAAGGTGTAGTACATGTCAATTTTAGCTTTTGCTTTTTCTATGTTACATTTATTTAAGATTAAAAAATTTTGCACACTTTTGTCATCTGAAAATTTATTAATTAACAGTGAAATACGAGTTTATCGTTTGCTTACCTAAAATTTCGGGAAGGTGATGCTGATCTTTCATCCATTTTTTTAAGTTTAGGACATCTTCAGCCAACGATTCTTCAGTTTTATTGTATACTTTTACAATTGAACTCAGAGCGTTGCTTTGGACAGAAAATAGTTCTGTGTGTTTAGGCATGTTTTACTTTATGAAGTGAGGGAATTAAAACTATTAATAAAACAGGTTTTTTGTTTTTAGTTTAGTTTTGGAGGCTTCACTGTGCGTAATTACAAACAAGGTTAACAACAATGACGTCGAAGTCGAAAAATCGTGAATTTAAAAATTCGAATAAATGAAAATTTGAAAACCTGAAAAATCGAAAAATTGAGAAGTCGACAAATTCTGACACCACACAGGTATACTTTTCAGTGAGTTCAAATTCTAAAATATAAATTTCGATATGATTACACATCTGGTTATGCAATAAGATATTTCTCGTAAGTTGTTTTTATCGTACAAATATCTGGGTATCAACAAAAAAAAAAATATAAATTTACATAAATTTGTGTAAAATTAATATATATTATATTACTAATTATTTAAGAATATATTAATTTTCCATTTAAAACGCATTTTCACTTCTTCAGGAAAGAAAATGTTATCGTTTTGTTATTGGCAGCAAAACTTGGCGTCAGTTCTGATAGGAAAATTATATAATTATGGTGTATCTAACTTCCACACGAACGAATATTCTAGGACAGATTTCTAAACTAGACTTTTTTGTTTATATACTTTACGTTTAAATTGTTCTTTAGTTGAAAAACAGTTGACAAAAAAGTGCCAAAATATTAAAATATCAAATAACTAACTTTGACATATCCATTAATCTTCTGCAAATTTTGCGTGTGTTTTGTCATTGTTTTTTACTTTATGAAGAGCAGAAGGCTCAAAAGGTTTGAAGACAACACGAACCATTGATCAACTTTTGAGAGAACCATTAAATACATTTTTAAATTGTTTAGCTGAAACCGGTTTTTCTGCAACATTTACTTTATATACAGGATTGTCCAAATAAAACGAAACACACAAGACCGTAGAGGCTGTCTTTGATTATGTGTAAAATGATCGAACACTGGGATTAATTGTATCCAAAATAATTTCAATCTCAGTAATTTTCCAGCAGTCGCAGTATAATTAGAATTATATTAAATCTGAGGTATTTTTGAAGCGAACTTTTCAAGAAAACTATCTAATAATAATCTACAGCATGACCAGCTAGATATCAACATGCAGTAAAATTATTTTAAACTTACTAAATTTGCAATTAACAAATTCCCTTATTACATATACGAGTATATCCATGGAAAACAATATTTCTATAAAGTGCAAAATAAATGTTAGTCAATGTTTAACTTTCTAAAATTGCCATGATATCCCAAAAATTCGTCGTTTTCATTTTCAAGTATGGCTGGCCTTAAACTTTCATTCACTCTCAATTTATCCAGTAGATCGAAACGATCTTGATATTCTTGAAGCTTTAGTTCGCATAATTCTAAAAACTCAAATCAAAAAGTACTCTAAACTAAAATGTTATCGGTACCATGCAATTCGTCGACTGACTTCTCGGTGCCACCGTAATCCCTTGGTAACATTTCTAAAGGAAAGTGCTCTTTTAAAATATTCGCGTCGTTACACACATGAACCTAAATTCCTAAAAATAAATTAATTGTTCCTTTTAAAGTACGTCCCTTACCCTTGCAAATAATTTAGGTTTAACGAGAGTCTTAAAAACAGCTAGTAGTGTGCTGACGTAAGGGACAGTATTAATTATGTACAATTGTACATACCCTTCAGTGGAAGAGAAAATATTTTCTGTAAGAAAAAAAATGTTATCATTTTGTTATTTATTTGTGTATATAAAAAAACTGGTGTTAGTTTTAACAATAAACGCATGGATGTTCCTTCTAAGTCAAAAATGATCACATCTCCACACATAACATCTTCTTTCAATCGAATTTCATGCAAGTTGTAAGCCATTTTAAGTAGGTCATAGGGATCAATTTGCCCCACTTTGTCTTTAATTCGGTATTTCTGCAGGAACACTCTGTACATATCCTTGGTCATTTTTGGTAAGGGTACATGGTATATTAGCTTATTCACTTCTTTTATGTTTGAGCAACGAGGATTCATATTTTCGGTTAAATCAGGTACCTGATTTCGGAAACTGTAATAATTGTCTATATTTTTTTTTTGCTTTTTCCACATTACATTTATTCAAGATTAGAAAATTTTGCACACGTTTGTCATCTATAAATTTATTAATTAACAGTGAAATACGAGTTTATCGTTTGCTTACCTAAGATTTCGGGAAGGTGATGCTGACCTTTCATCCAGTCTTTTAAGTTTAGGACATCTTCAGCCAACGATTCTTCAGTTTTGTCGTATACTTTTAGAATTGAACTCAGAGCGTTGCCTTGGATAGAAAATAGTTCTGTGTCTTTAGGCATGTTTTACGTTATGAAGTGAGAGGATTAATGGTTTTGGAGTTGATCGAATGTTAATAATGGAATTTTTGAAAAAATTTGTAGGTATAACAGGTTTTTCATGTCTGATATTTTACGTCAATTAATTTCTTTTTCGTTTTTCTAGTTGCATAGTGCATAATTACAAACAAGGTCAACAACAATGCCATTGATTTTGTCCTAAATATTCTCATAATAATTTAATCAACGCAGCTTTTTTTACCTTTTATTGCATCTTAAAAATTCAGAATTGTTTTGCTTTTGAAGGCTCCATTGATTTAACGGCAGTTTTTCCAGTTTATCGTCATATTCCTCCAATTTAAGTTTCATTTGGTAACTCTAAACATGTTTTAAAAAACATGCACTTCAAATCAAAAATGGCAAAATTGAAGATTCAAAATACTGAAACACGTCAACACTGAAATATCGTAAATCTGAAATATCGAAAAATTGATTCTTCAGTTTTGTTGAAAACTTGCACATCTCAACTCAGAGCGTCGTTTTGGTTATGAAATGATTTAGGGTGTTTTGTTATTGTTTTTTACCTTATGGGGTGCAGATGGCTTAAAAAGTTTAAAGATAACTCGAATCGTTGATGAACTTTTGAGTGTACCATTATATAAATTTTGTAGTCTGTTAGCTAAAGCAGATTCTTCACATCTATGATCCATACAGCATTTACTTTTTATATATTTTTTCCTTTCTTCGTTATACATATTTAGGTTAATTACACTGAGTTCCATTGTATCCAAAATAATCTCACTGTCATTAATTTTTAATTTTCAGCAGTTCGAGACATATTTGAAGTGAACCTTTCAAGAAAACTATCTAATAAATAATAATCTACAGCGTGGCTACCTAAATATCAACATGCAATAAAATGATTTTAAAATACATAAATTTTCAATAAACTAATTGTACCCTCATTATACAGATGTCATACTAAGCAAGGCAAATAATCTTTGGATAAAGTACAAAATAAGTGTTAGTCAATCTCTAACTTTTTAAAATTGCCATGATATCCCAAAAATTCGTCGTTTCCGTCTGCAAGTCTGGCTGGCCTTAAACTCTCATTCACTCTCAATTTATCCAGGAGATCGAAACGGTCTTGATATTCTTGATACTTAAGGGGGTATAATTCTACAAATTCGAATCAAAAAAGATTGCAAACTAAAATGTTGTCAGTACCATGCAATTCCTCGATTGACTTTTCGGTACCACCGTAATCCTTAGGTAACATCTCTAAAGGAAAGTGCTCCTTTAAAATATTCGCGTCTTTGCACACATGAATCTGAATTCCTCAAAATAAATTAATTGTTCCTTTTAAAGTAGTTCTCTTACCCTTCCGAATAATTTAGGTGTGACGAGAGCCTTGACGATGGTTAGTATCGTTTCCACGTAAGGGACACTATTAATCAAGTACACACCTTTCAGTGGAAGAGAATATACTTTCTGTAAGAAGGAAAATGTTATCACTTTGTTATTTCTTTGTATAGGTACTCACTTTATACAAAGTTATGAATGTCATCAGAAAAGTTGGTGTCAGTTTTGACAAAAAACGTACGGAAGTCCCTTCTAAATCAAAAATGATCACATCTCCGAACATGATATCTTCTTTTAACCTTATTTCTTGCAAGTTAGCAGCCATTTTAAGTGCGTCATAGAGATCAATTTGGTCCAGTTTGTCTTTAGTTCGGCATTTAGCCACAAATACTCTGTACATATCCTTGGTCATTTTTGGTAAGAATACAAGGTATACTAGCGTTGCCACTTCTTTCATGATTGAACAACGAGGATTGATATTTTTGACCATATCAGGTACCTGACTTCGAAAGGTGTAGTACATGTCAATTTTAGCTTTTGCTTTTTCTATGTTACATTTATTTAAGATTAAAAAATTTTGCACACTTTTGTCATCTGTAAATTTATTAATTAACAGTGAAATACGAGTTTATCGTTTGCTTACCTAAAATTTCGGGAAGGTGATGCTGATCATTCATCCATTTTTTTAAGCTTAGGACATCTTCAGCCAACGATTCTTCAGTTTTATTGTATACTTTTACAATTGAACTCAGAGCGTTGCTTTGGACAGAAAATAGTTCTGTGTGTTTAGGCATGTTTTACTTTATGAAGTGAGGGAATTAAAACTTTTAATAGAACAGGTTTTTTGTGTTTAGTTTAGTTTTGGAGGCTTCACTGTGCATAATTACAAACAAGGTTAACAACAATAACGTCGAAGTCGAAAAATCGTGAATTTAAAAATTCGAATAAATGAAAATTTGAAAACCTGAAAAATCGAAAAATTAAGAAGTCGACAAATTCTTTTTAAAATTTAAGAATAGCAAAACATTTAAAATGGATCCCCGTCAGACAGGTATACTTTTCAGTGAGTTCAAATTCTAAAATATAAATTTCTATATGATTACACATCTGGTTATGCAATAATATATTTCTCATAAGTTGTTTTTATCGTATCTGGGTATCAACAAACAAAAAAAAAATATAAATTTACATAAATTTGTATAAAATTAATATATAATATATTATATTACTAATTATTTAAGAATAGATTAATTTTCCATTTAAAGCGCATTTTCACTTCTTTAGGAAAGAAGAAGAATTGTTTTGTTATTGGCAGTAAAACTTGGCGTCAGTTCTGATAGGAAAATTATATTATTATGGTGTATCTAACTTCCACACGGACGAATATTCTAGCACAGATTTCTAAACTTGACTTTTTTGTTTATATACTTTACGTTTAAATTGTTCTTTAGTTGAAAAACAGTTGACAAAAAAATGTCAAAATATTAAAATTTTAAATAACTAACTTTGATATATCCATTAATCTTCTGTAAATTTTGCGTGTTTTGTCATTGTTTTTTACTTTATGAAGAGCAGAAGGCTTAAAAGGTTTGAAGACAACACGAACAACTTTTGAGAGAACCATTAAATACATTTTTAAACTGTTTAGCTGAAACCGGTTTTTCACATCTCATAGATGTAATACTGCAACATTTACCTTATATACAGGATTATCCAAATAAAACGAAACAGACGGGACCGTAGAGGCTGTCTTTGATTATGTGTAAAATGATCGAACACTGGGATTAATTGTATCCAAAATAATTTCAATCTCAGTAATTTTCCAGCAGTCGCAGTATAATTAGAATTATATTAAATCTGAGGTATTTTTGAAGCGAACTTTTCAAGAAAACTATCTAATAATAATCTACAGCATGACCAGCTAGATATCAACATGCAGTAAAATTATTTTAAACTTACTTAAATTTGCAATTAGGTAATTCTATCCTTATTACATATATATCCATGGAAAACAATATTTCGATAAAGTGCAAAATAAATGTTAGTCAATGTTTAACTTTCTAAAATTGCCATGATATCCCAAAAATTCGTGTTTTCATTTTCAAGTATGGCAGGTCTTAAACTCTCATCCACTCTCAATTTATCCAGTAGATCGAAACGGTCTTGATATTCTTGATACTTAAGGTGGCATAATTCTACAAATTCAAATAAAAAATATTGCAAACTAAAATGTTGTCAGTACCATGCAATTCCTCGATTGACTTTTCGGTACCACCGTAATCCCTTGGTAACATTTCTAAAGGAAAGTGCTCCTTTAAAATATTCGCATCGTTACACACATGAACCTAAATTCCTAAAAATAAATTAATTGTTCCTTTTAAAGTACGTCCCTTACCCTTGCAAATAATTTAGGTTTAACGAGAGTCTTAAAAACAGATAGTAGTGTGCTGACGTAAGGGACAATATTAATTATGTACAGACCCTTCAGTGGAAGAGAAAATATTTTCTGTAAGAAAGAAAATGTTATCATTTTGTTATTTATTTGTGTATATACGATACCCACCTTATACAAAGTGATGAATGTCACGAGAAAAGCTGGTGTTAGTTTTGACAATAAACGCATGGATGTTCCTTTTAAGTCAAAAATGATCACATCTCCACACATAACATCTTCTTTCAATCGAATTTCATGCAAGTTGTAAGCCATTTTAAGTAGGTCATAGGGATCAATTTGCCCCACTTTGTCTTTAATTCGGTATTTCTGCAGGAACACTCTGTACATATCCTTGGTCATTTTTGGTAAGGGTACATGGTATATTAGCTTATCCACTTCTTTTATGTTTGAGCAACGAGGATTCATATTTTCGGCTAAATCAGGTACCTGACTTCGGAAACTGTAATAATTGTCTATATTTTTTTTTTGCTTTTTCCACATTACATTTATTTAAGATTAGAAAATTTTGCACACGTTTGTCATCTATAAATTTATTAATTAACAGTGAAATACGAGTTTATCGTTTGCTTACTTAAGATTTCGGGAAGGTGATGCTGACCTTTCATCCAGTCTTTTAAGTTTAGGACATCTTCAGCCAACGATTCTTCAGTTTTGTCGTATACTTTTAGAATTGAACTCAGAGCGTTGCTTTGGACAGAAAATAGTTCTGTGTCTTTAGGCATGTTTTACCTTATGAAGTGAGAGGATTAATGGTTTTGGAGTTGATTGAATGTTAATAAAGGAATTTTTGAAAAAATTTATAGGTAAAACGGGTTTTTCATGTCTGATATTTTACGTCAATTAATTTCTTTTTCGTTTTTCTAGTTGCATAGTGCATAATTACAAACAAGGTCAACAACAATGCCATTGATTTTGTCCTAAATATTCTGATAATAATTTAATCAACGCAGCTTTTTTTACCTTTTATTGCATCTTAAAAATTCAGAACTGTTTTGCTTTTGAAGGCTCCATTGATTTAACGGCAGTTTTTCCAGTTTATCGTCATATTCCTCCAATTTAAGTTTCATTTGGTAACTCTAAACATGTTTTAAAAAACATGCACTTCAAATCAAAAATGGCAAAATTGAAGATTCAAAATACTGAAACACGTCAACACTGAAATATCGTAAATCTGAAATATCGAAAAATTGATTCTTCAGTTTTGTTGAAAACTTGCACATCTCAACTCAGAGCGTCGTTTTGGTTATGAAATGATTTAGGGTGTTTTGTTATTATTTTTTACCTTATGGGGTGCAGATGGCTTAAAAAGTTTAAAGATAACTCGAATCGTTGATGAACTTTTGAGTGTACCATTATATAAATTTTGTAGTCTGTTAGCTAAAGCAGATTCTTCACATCTATGATCCATACAGCATTTACTTTTTATATATTTTTTCCTTTCTTCGTTATACATATTTAGGTTAATTACACTGAGTTCCATTGTATCCAAAATAATCTCACTGTCATTAATTTTTAATTTTCAGCAGTTCGAGACATATTTGAAGTGAACCTTTCAAGAAAACTATCTAATAAATAATAATCTACAGCGTGGCTACCTAAATATCAACATGCAATAAAATGATTTTAAAATACATAAATTTTCAATAAACTAATTGTACCCTCATTATACAGATGTCATACTAAGCAAGGCAAATAATCTTTGGATAAAGTACAAAATAAGTGTTAGTCAATCTCTAACTTTTTAAAATTGCCATGATATCCCAAAAATTCGTCGTTTCCGTCTGCAAGTCTGGCTGGCCTTAAACTCTCATTCACTCTCAATTTATCCAGGAGATCGAAACGGTCTTGATATTCTTGATACTTAAGGGGGTATAATTCTACAAATTCGAATCAAAAAAGATTGCAAACTAAAATGTTGTCAGTACCATGCAATTCCTCGATTGACTTTTCGGTACCACCGTAATCCTTAGGTAACATCTCTAAAGGAAAGTGCTCCTTTAAAATATTCGCGTCTTTGCACACATGAATCTGAATTCCTCAAAATAAATTAATTGTTCCTTTTAAAGTAGTTCTCTTACCCTTCCGAATAATTTAGGTGTGACGAGAGCCTTGACGATGGTTAGTATCGTTTCCACGTAAGGGACACTATTAATCAAGTACACACCTTTCAGTGGAAGAGAATATACTTTCTGTAAGAAGGAAAATGTTATCACTTTGTTATTTCTTTGTATAGGTACTCACTTTATACAAAGTTATGAATGTCATCAGAAAAGTTGGTGTCAGTTTTGACAAAAAACGTACGGAAGTCCCTTCTAAATCAAAAATGATCACATCTCCGAACATGATATCTTCTTTTAACCTTATTTCTTGCAAGTTAGCAGCCATTTTAAGTACGTCGTAGAGATCAATTTGGTCCAGTTTGTCTTTAGTTCGGCATTTAGCCACAAATACTCTGTACATATCCTTGGTCATTTTTGGTAAGAATACAAGGTATACTAGCGTTGCCACTTCTTTCATGATTGAACAACGAGGATTGATATTTTTGACCATATCAGGTACCTGACTTCGAAAGGTGTAGTACATGTCAATTTTAGCTTTTGCTTTTTCTATGTTACATTTATTTAAGATTAAAAAATTTTGCACACTTTTGTCATCTGAAAATTTATTAATTAACAGTGAAATACGAGTTTATCGTTTGCTTACCTAAAATTTCGGGAAGGTGATGCTGATCTTTCATCCATTTTTTTAAGTTTAGGACATCTTCAGCCAACGATTCTTCAGTTTTATTGTATACTTTTACAATTGAACTCAGAGCGTTGCTTTGGACAGAAAATAGTTCTGTGTGTTTAGGCATGTTTTACTTTATGAAGTGAGGGAATTAAAACTATTAATAAAACAGGTTTTTTGTTTTTAGTTTAGTTTTGGAGGCTTCACTGTGCGTAATTACAAACAAGGTTAACAACAATGACGTCGAAGTCGAAAAATCGTGAATTTAAAAATTCGAATAAATGAAAATTTGAAAACCTGAAAAATCGAAAAATTGAGAAGTCGACAAATTCTGACACCACACAGGTATACTTTTCAGTGAGTTCAAATTCTAAAATATAAATTTCGATATGATTACACATCTGGTTATGCAATAAGATATTTCTCGTAAGTTGTTTTTATCGTACAAATATCTGGGTATCAACAAAAAAAAAAATATAAATTTACATAAATTTGTGTAAAATTAATATATATTATATTACTAATTATTTAAGAATATATTAATTTTCCATTTAAAACGCATTTTCACTTCTTCAGGAAAGAAAATGTTATCGTTTTGTTATTGGCAGCAAAACTTGGCGTCAGTTCTGATAGGAAAATTATATAATTATGGTGTATCTAACTTCCACACGAACGAATATTCTAGGACAGATTTCTAAACTAGACTTTTTTGTTTATATACTTTACGTTTAAATTGTTCTTTAGTTGAAAAACAGTTGACAAAAAAGTGCCAAAATATTAAAATATCAAATAACTAACTTTGACATATCCATTAATCTTCTGCAAATTTTGCGTGTGTTTTGTCATTGTTTTTTACTTTATGAAGAGCAGAAGGCTCAAAAGGTTTGAAGACAACACGAACCATTGATCAACTTTTGAGAGAACCATTAAATACATTTTTAAATTGTTTAGCTGAAACCGGTTTTTCTGCAACATTTACTTTATATACAGGATTGTCCAAATAAAACGAAACACACAAGACCGTAGAGGCTGTCTTTGATTATGTGTAAAATGATCGAACACTGGGATTAATTGTATCCAAAATAATTTCAATCTCAGTAATTTTCCAGCAGTCGCAGTATAATTAGAATTATATTAAATCTGAGGTATTTTTGAAGCGAACTTTTCAAGAAAACTATCTAATAATAATCTACAGCATGACCAGCTAGATATCAACATGCAGTAAAATTATTTTAAACTTACTAAATTTGCAATTAACAAATTCCCTTATTACATATACGAGTATATCCATGGAAAACAATATTTCTATAAAGTGCAAAATAAATGTTAGTCAATGTTTAACTTTCTAAAATTGCCATGATATCCCAAAAATTCGTCGTTTTCATTTTCAAGTATGGCTGGCCTTAAACTTTCATTCACTCTCAATTTATCCAGTAGATCGAAACGATCTTGATATTCTTGAAGCTTTAGTTCGCATAATTCTAAAAACTCAAATCAAAAAGTACTCTAAACTAAAATGTTATCGGTACCATGCAATTCGTCGACTGACTTCTCGGTGCCACCGTAATCCCTTGGTAACATTTCTAAAGGAAAGTGCTCTTTTAAAATATTCGCGTCGTTACACACATGAACCTAAATTCCTAAAAATAAATTAATTGTTCCTTTTAAAGTACGTCCCTTACCCTTGCAAATAATTTAGGTTTAACGAGAGTCTTAAAAACAGCTAGTAGTGTGCTGACGTAAGGGACAGTATTAATTATGTACAATTGTACATACCCTTCAGTGGAAGAGAAAATATTTTCTGTAAGAAAAAAAATGTTATCATTTTGTTATTTATTTGTGTATATAAAAAAACTGGTGTTAGTTTTAACAATAAACGCATGGATGTTCCTTCTAAGTCAAAAATGATCACATCTCCACACATAACATCTTCTTTCAATCGAATTTCATGCAAGTTGTAAGCCATTTTAAGTAGGTCATAGGGATCAATTTGCCCCACTTTGTCTTTAATTCGGTATTTCTGCAGGAACACTCTGTACATATCCTTGGTCATTTTTGGTAAGGGTACATGGTATATTAGCTTATTCACTTCTTTTATGTTTGAGCAACGAGGATTCATATTTTCGGTTAAATCAGGTACCTGATTTCGGAAACTGTAATAATTGTCTATATTTTTTTTTTGCTTTTTCCACATTACATTTATTCAAGATTAGAAAATTTTGCACACGTTTGTCATCTATAAATTTATTAATTAACAGTGAAATACGAGTTTATCGTTTGCTTACCTAAGATTTCGGGAAGGTGATGCTGACCTTTCATCCAGTCTTTTAAGTTTAGGACATCTTCAGCCAACGATTCTTCAGTTTTGTCGTATACTTTTAGAATTGAACTCAGAGCGTTGCCTTGGATAGAAAATAGTTCTGTGTCTTTAGGCATGTTTTACGTTATGAAGTGAGAGGATTAATGGTTTTGGAGTTGATCGAATGTTAATAATGGAATTTTTGAAAAAATTTGTAGGTATAACAGGTTTTTCATGTCTGATATTTTACGTCAATTAATTTCTTTTTCGTTTTTCTAGTTGCATAGTGCATAATTACAAACAAGGTCAACAACAATGCCATTGATTTTGTCCTAAATATTCTCATAATAATTTAATCAACGCAGCTTTTTTTACCTTTTATTGCATCTTAAAAATTCAGAATTGTTTTGCTTTTGAAGGCTCCATTGATTTAACGGCAGTTTTTCCAGTTTATCGTCATATTCCTCCAATTTAAGTTTCATTTGGTAACTCTAAACATGTTTTAAAAAACATGCACTTCAAATCAAAAATGGCAAAATTGAAGATTCAAAATACTGAAACACGTCAACACTGAAATATCGTAAATCTGAAATATCGAAAAATTGATTCTTCAGTTTTGTTGAAAACTTGCACATCTCAACTCAGAGCGTCGTTTTGGTTATGAAATGATTTAGGGTGTTTTGTTATTGTTTTTTACCTTATGGGGTGCAGATGGCTTAAAAAGTTTAAAGATAACTCGAATCGTTGATGAACTTTTGAGTGTACCATTATATAAATTTTGTAGTCTGTTAGCTAAAGCAGATTCTTCACATCTATGATCCATACAGCATTTACTTTTTATATATTTTTTCCTTTCTTCGTTATACATATTTAGGTTAATTACACTGAGTTCCATTGTATCCAAAATAATCTCACTGTCATTAATTTTTAATTTTCAGCAGTTCGAGACATATTTGAAGTGAACCTTTCAAGAAAACTATCTAATAAATAATAATCTACAGCGTGGCTACCTAAATATCAACATGCAATAAAATGATTTTAAAATACATAAATTTTCAATAAACTAATTGTACCCTCATTATACAGATGTCATACTAAGCAAGGCAAATAATCTTTGGATAAAGTACAAAATAAGTGTTAGTCAATCTCTAACTTTTTAAAATTGCCATGATATCCCAAAAATTCGTCGTTTCCGTCTGCAAGTCTGGCTGGCCTTAAACTCTCATTCACTCTCAATTTATCCAGGAGATCGAAACGGTCTTGATATTCTTGATACTTAAGGGGGTATAATTCTACAAATTCGAATCAAAAAAGATTGCAAACTAAAATGTTGTCAGTACCATGCAATTCCTCGATTGACTTTTCGGTACCACCGTAATCCTTAGGTAACATCTCTAAAGGAAAGTGCTCCTTTAAAATATTCGCGTCTTTGCACACATGAATCTGAATTCCTCAAAATAAATTAATTGTTCCTTTTAAAGTAGTTCTCTTACCCTTCCGAATAATTTAGGTGTGACGAGAGCCTTGACGATGGTTAGTATCGTTTCCACGTAAGGGACACTATTAATCAAGTACACACCTTTCAGTGGAAGAGAATATACTTTCTGTAAGAAGGAAAATGTTATCACTTTGTTATTTCTTTGTATAGGTACTCACTTTATACAAAGTTATGAATGTCATCAGAAAAGTTGGTGTCAGTTTTGACAAAAAACGTACGGAAGTCCCTTCTAAATCAAAAATGATCACATCTCCGAACATGATATCTTCTTTTAACCTTATTTCTTGCAAGTTAGCAGCCATTTTAAGTGCGTCATAGAGATCAATTTGGTCCAGTTTGTCTTTAGTTCGGCATTTAGCCACAAATACTCTGTACATATCCTTGGTCATTTTTGGTAAGAATACAAGGTATACTAGCGTTGCCACTTCTTTCATGATTGAACAACGAGGATTGATATTTTTGACCATATCAGGTACCTGACTTCGAAAGGTGTAGTACATGTCAATTTTAGCTTTTGCTTTTTCTATGTTACATTTATTTAAGATTAAAAAATTTTGCACACTTTTGTCATCTGTAAATTTATTAATTAACAGTGAAATACGAGTTTATCGTTTGCTTACCTAAAATTTCGGGAAGGTGATGCTGATCATTCATCCATTTTTTTAAGCTTAGGACATCTTCAGCCAACGATTCTTCAGTTTTATTGTATACTTTTACAATTGAACTCAGAGCGTTGCTTTGGACAGAAAATAGTTCTGTGTGTTTAGGCATGTTTTACTTTATGAAGTGAGGGAATTAAAACTTTTAATAGAACAGGTTTTTTGTGTTTAGTTTAGTTTTGGAGGCTTCACTGTGCATAATTACAAACAAGGTTAACAACAATAACGTCGAAGTCGAAAAATCGTGAATTTAAAAATTCGAATAAATGAAAATTTGAAAACCTGAAAAATCGAAAAATTAAGAAGTCGACAAATTCTTTTTAAAATTTAAGAATAGCAAAACATTTAAAATGGATCCCCGTCAGACAGGTATACTTTTCAGTGAGTTCAAATTCTAAAATATAAATTTCTATATGATTACACATCTGGTTATGCAATAATATATTTCTCATAAGTTGTTTTTATCGTATCTGGGTATCAACAAACAAAAAAAAAATATAAATTTACATAAATTTGTATAAAATTAATATATAATATATTATATTACTAATTATTTAAGAATAGATTAATTTTCCATTTAAAGCGCATTTTCACTTCTTTAGGAAAGAAGAAGAATTGTTTTGTTATTGGCAGTAAAACTTGGCGTCAGTTCTGATAGGAAAATTATATTATTATGGTGTATCTAACTTCCACACGGACGAATATTCTAGCACAGATTTCTAAACTTGACTTTTTTGTTTATATACTTTACGTTTAAATTGTTCTTTAGTTGAAAAACAGTTGACAAAAAAATGTCAAAATATTAAAATTTTAAATAACTAACTTTGATATATCCATTAATCTTCTGTAAATTTTGCGTGTTTTGTCATTGTTTTTTACTTTATGAAGAGCAGAAGGCTTAAAAGGTTTGAAGACAACACGAACAACTTTTGAGAGAACCATTAAATACATTTTTAAACTGTTTAGCTGAAACCGGTTTTTCACATCTCATAGATGTAATACTGCAACATTTACCTTATATACAGGATTATCCAAATAAAACGAAACAGACGGGACCGTAGAGGCTGTCTTTGATTATGTGTAAAATGATCGAACACTGGGATTAATTGTATCCAAAATAATTTCAATCTCAGTAATTTTCCAGCAGTCGCAGTATAATTAGAATTATATTAAATCTGAGGTATTTTTGAAGCGAACTTTTCAAGAAAACTATCTAATAATAATCTACAGCATGACCAGCTAGATATCAACATGCAGTAAAATTATTTTAAACTTACTTAAATTTGCAATTAGGTAATTCTATCCTTATTACATATATATCCATGGAAAACAATATTTCGATAAAGTGCAAAATAAATGTTAGTCAATGTTTAACTTTCTAAAATTGCCATGATATCCCAAAAATTCGTGTTTTCATTTTCAAGTATGGCAGGTCTTAAACTCTCATCCACTCTCAATTTATCCAGTAGATCGAAACGGTCTTGATATTCTTGATACTTAAGGTGGCATAATTCTACAAATTCAAATAAAAAATATTGCAAACTAAAATGTTGTCAGTACCATGCAATTCCTCGATTGACTTTTCGGTACCACCGTAATCCCTTGGTAACATTTCTAAAGGAAAGTGCTCCTTTAAAATATTCGCATCGTTACACACATGAACCTAAATTCCTAAAAATAAATTAATTGTTCCTTTTAAAGTACGTCCCTTACCCTTGCAAATAATTTAGGTTTAACGAGAGTCTTAAAAACAGATAGTAGTGTGCTGACGTAAGGGACAATATTAATTATGTACAGACCCTTCAGTGGAAGAGAAAATATTTTCTGTAAGAAAGAAAATGTTATCATTTTGTTATTTATTTGTGTATATACGATACCCACCTTATACAAAGTGATGAATGTCACGAGAAAAGCTGGTGTTAGTTTTGACAATAAACGCATGGATGTTCCTTTTAAGTCAAAAATGATCACATCTCCACACATAACATCTTCTTTCAATCGAATTTCATGCAAGTTGTAAGCCATTTTAAGTAGGTCATAGGGATCAATTTGCCCCACTTTGTCTTTAATTCGGTATTTCTGCAGGAACACTCTGTACATATCCTTGGTCATTTTTGGTAAGGGTACATGGTATATTAGCTTATCCACTTCTTTTATGTTTGAGCAACGAGGATTCATATTTTCGGCTAAATCAGGTACCTGACTTCGGAAACTGTAATAATTGTCTATATTTTTTTTTTGCTTTTTCCACATTACATTTATTTAAGATTAGAAAATTTTGCACACGTTTGTCATCTATAAATTTATTAATTAACAGTGAAATACGAGTTTATCGTTTGCTTACTTAAGATTTCGGGAAGGTGATGCTGACCTTTCATCCAGTCTTTTAAGTTTAGGACATCTTCAGCCAACGATTCTTCAGTTTTGTCGTATACTTTTAGAATTGAACTCAGAGCGTTGCTTTGGACAGAAAATAGTTCTGTGTCTTTAGGCATGTTTTACCTTATGAAGTGAGAGGATTAATGGTTTTGGAGTTGATTGAATGTTAATAAAGGAATTTTTGAAAAAATTTATAGGTAAAACGGGTTTTTCATGTCTGATATTTTACGTCAATTAATTTCTTTTTCGTTTTTCTAGTTGCATAGTGCATAATTACAAACAAGGTCAACAACAATGCCATTGATTTTGTCCTAAATATTCTGATAATAATTTAATCAACGCAGCTTTTTTTACCTTTTATTGCATCTTAAAAATTCAGAATTGTTTTGCTTTTGAAGGCTCCATTGATTTAACGGCAGTTTTTCCAGTTTATCGTCATATTCCTCCAATTTAAGTTTCATTTGGTAACTCTAAACATGTTTTAAAAAACATGCACTTCAAATCAAAAATGGCAAAATTGAAGATTCAAAATACTGAAACACGTCAACACTGAAATATCGTAAATCTGAAATATCGAAAAATTGATTCTTCAGTTTTGTTGAAAACTTGCACATCTCAACTCAGAGCGTCGTTTTGGTTATGAAATGATTTAGGGTGTTTTGTTATTGTTTTTTACCTTATGGGGTGCAGATGGCTTAAAAAGTTTAAAGATAACTCGAATCGTTGATGAACTTTTGAGTGTACCATTATATAAATTTTGTAGTCTGTTAGCTAAAGCAGATTCTTCACATCTATGATCCATACAGCATTTACTTTTTATATATTTTTTCCTTTCTTCGTTATACATATTTAGGTTAATTACACTGAGTTCCATTGTATCCAAAATAATCTCACTGTCATTAATTTTTAATTTTCAGCAGTTCGAGACATATTTGAAGTGAACCTTTCAAGAAAACTATCTAATAAATAATAATCTACAGCGTGGCTACCTAAATATCAACATGCAATAAAATGATTTTAAAATACATAAATTTTCAATAAACTAATTGTACCCTCATTATACAGATGTCATACTAAGCAAGGCAAATAATCTTTGGATAAAGTACAAAATAAGTGTTAGTCAATCTCTAACTTTTTAAAATTGTCATGATATCCCAAAAATTCGTCGTTTCCGTCTGCAAGTCTGGCTGGCCTTAAACTCTCATTCACTCTCAATTTATCCAGGAGATCGAAACGGTCTTGATATTCTTGATACTTAAGGGGGTATAATTCTACAAATTCGAATCAAAAAAGATTGCAAACTAAAATGTTGTCAGTACCATGCAATTCCTCGATTGACTTTTCGGTACCACCGTAATCCTTAGGTAACATCTCTAAAGGAAAGTGCTCCTTTAAAATATTCGCGTCTTTGCACACATGAATCTGAATTCCTCAAAATAAATTAATTGTTCCTTTTAAAGTAGTTCTCTTACCCTTCCGAATAATTTAGGTGTGACGAGAGCCTTGACGATGGTTAGTATCGTTTCCACGTAAGGGACACTATTAATCAAGTACACACCTTTCAGTGGAAGAGAATATACTTTCTGTAAGAAGGAAAATGTTATCACTTTGTTATTTCTTTGTATAGGTACTCACTTTATACAAAGTTATGAATGTCATCAGAAAAGTTGGTGTCAGTTTTGACAAAAAACGTACGGAAGTCCCTTCTAAATCAAAAATGATCACATCTCCGAACATGATATCTTCTTTTAACCTTATTTCTTGCAAGTTAACAGCCGTTTTAAGTACGTCATAGACATCAATTTGGTCCAGTTTGTCTTTAGTTCGGCATTTAGCCACAAATACTCTGTACATATCCTTGGTCATTTTTGGTAAGAATACAAGGTATACTAGCGTTGCCACTTCTTTCATGATTGAACAACGAGGATTGATATTTTTGACCAAATCAGGTACCTGACTTCGAAAGGTGTAGTACATGTCAATTTTAACTTTTGTTTTTTCTATGTTACATTTATTTAAGATTAAAAAATTTTGCACTCTTTTGTCATCTGTCAATTTATTAATTGTGTTAATAGTCGAGTATGAGTTAAGCGTTTGCTTACCTAAAATTTCGGGAAGGTGATGCTGATCTTTAATCCAGTTTTTTAAGCGTAGTACATCTTCAGCTAACGATTCTTCAGTTTTGTTGTATACTTTTACAATTGAACTTAAAGCGTTGCTTTGGATAGAAAATAATTCTGTGTCTTTGGGCATGTTTTACCTTATGAAGTGAGGGAATTAAAACTTTTAATAAAACAGATGTCTCGTGTCTGATATGTTACGTCAATTAATTCTTCTTTTTGTTTTTAGTTTAGTTTGATGGAGTTTGCACTGTGCATAATTGTAAACAAGGTTATCAACAATAACGTTCATTTTGCCCTCAATAATTGCACTGACATCAGTTTCTCTGCCGCCACAGTACTTCATAAAAGAATCATAATCGACGCAGCTTTTTTCACCTTTCATTACATCTTAAAAATTCAGGATAATTTTGCTTTTGAAGGCCCCATATCTTAATTTAACCGCAGTTTGTCCAGTTTATCGTCATATTCTTCCAATTTAAGTTTCATTAGGTAACTCTAAACATTTTTTAATAAGCATGCACTTCAAATCAAAAATGGCAAAACTGAAATATCGAAAAATTTCAAAATCGTAGAAAATTAGATAATCGAAAAATTGAAAAATCTCAAACCTGAAACATCAGAAATTGAGGTATCCAAAAATCGACAGTTTAAAAAATCGAATAAATAAAAATTTGAAAACCTCAAAAATCGAAAAATTGAGAAGTCGACAAGTTGAGAAATCGAAAAGTCTTCTGTACTGGGAATGATCTGGAATAGAGATGACACTCTACACCTCTGCCTAGAAAATTTGAAACAAGTTGACATAAGTTGCATAACGAAGAAGCAAATTTTGTCCATCACCAACTTGGATTTGTGTCACTTGTACTTTTGCTGTCGAAAATGTTACTTCAGAGAACTCGGCTGACACACTTGAACTGGACTATACCAGTTCCCGAAGACTTAAAAGAATCCTTTTTAGGGAGTTAAAGTTTGCGTCATTTATGGAGATTTTTTATTGTTGTAGTGTTGTTATTATTTAAGGTGAACATAGACGGCTCGTGAATATATGGGTAGGAAAATCTTAAATTCAACTTGAGTTTTCGAAAAAATCCTATATGAAAAAGTTGTTCCACTTCACGAGTTCTGTTACTGGTTAAAATTAATGTACTTATTTCTGAGACACCTTTGCTTTATTAATAATAATTTGCTTTGATTTCACTACAATTAAATTTTTATTTTTTGTTAATTCTTTGTGTTGTTGTAAACATATTTGAACTAATAAATGAAGGTCAACCGTAGCAGTTCTGTAACACCTAAATTAGAAAAATCGGTGAATAGGAAACAATATGGAAGTAGATGGAACTTGGGGGATGCCGTGGTTAAAATATTTGCATATATTTTGCAGTCACCCTGTATACATGTCATACTAAGCAAGTCAAATAATAATCTTTGGATACAGTGCAAAATAAGTGTTAGTCAATCTCTAACTTTTTAAAATTGCCATGATATCCCAAAAATTCGTCGTTTTCGTCTGCAAGTCTGGCTGGCCTTAAACTCTCATTCACTCTCAATTTATCCAGTAGATCGAAACGGTCTTGGTATTCTTGATACTTAAGGGGGTATAATTCTACAACTTCAAATAAAAAAATATTGCAAACTAAAATGTTGTCACTACCATGCAATTCCTCGATTGACTTTTCGGTACCACCGTAATCCTTAGGTAACATCTCTAAAGGAAAGTGCTCCTTTAAAATATTCGCGTCTTTGCACACATGAATCTGAATTCCTCAAAATAAATTAATTGTTCCTTTTAAAGTACTTCTCTTACCCTTCCGAATAATTTAGGTGTGACGAGAGCCTTGACGATGGTTAGTATCGTTTCCACGTAAGGGACACTATTAATCAAGTACACACCTTTCAGTGGAAGAGAATATACTTTCTGTAAGAAGGAAAATGTTATCACTTTGTTATTTCTTTGTATAGGTACTCACTTTATACAAAGTTATGAATGTCATCAGAAAAGTTGGTGTCAGTTTTGACAAAAAACGTACGGAAGTCCCTTCTAAATCAAAAATGATCACATCTCCGAACATGATATCTTCTTTTAACCTTATTTCTTGCAAGTTAACAGCCATTTTAAGTACGTCATAGACATCAATTTGGTCCAGTTTGTCTTTAGTTCGGCATTTAGCCACAAATACTCTGTACATATCCTTGGTCATTTTTGGTAAGAGTACAATGTATACTAGTGTTGCCACTTCTTTCATGACTGAACAACGAGGATTGATATTTTTGACCAAATCAGGTACCTGACTTCGAAAGGTGTAGTACATGTCAATTTTAGCTTTTGCTTTTTCTATATTATATTTATTTAAGATTAAAAAATTTTGCACACTTTTGTCATCTGTCAATTTATTAATTGTGTTAACGTCGAGTATGAGTTTATTGTTCGCTTACCTAAAATTTCGGGAAGGTGATGCTGACATTTCATCCAGTTTTTTAAGTTTAGGACATCTTCAGCCAACGATTCTTCAGTTTTGTTGAACACTTTCACAATTGTATTCACAGCGTCGCTTTGGACATAAACTAATTCTGTGTCTTTTGGCATCGTTTACCTTATGAAGTTTAGGAGATGGTCGATTACTAATAAAGAACTTTTCAGGGTCGCATTAAATAAATTTTGTGCTGATTGGATAAAACATGTTTTGCATGTTTGATATATTCCGTCATTTAATCACTTCTTCTTTTTTTGTTATAGTTGTGATAAAGGTTTCGATTGACGTTGCACTGTGCAGAATTATAAACAAGGTTAACAACACTGGCATTCTTTTGTCCGAAGTAACTTATTTATCATAAACGAAGCATTTTAGTTATATTAGCGCTGCTTTTTTTATTTTTCATTACATCTTAAAAATTTAGAATGGTTGTACTTTTGAAGGCCCCATATCTTAATTTAACTGCAGGTAACTCTAAACGTTTTTTAATAACCATGCACGTCAAATCGAGAAATGACAAATTTGAAGCTTCGAAATATTGAAACACCATAAAACTAAAATATCAAAAAATTTGAAGATCAAATAGAAAGTAGAGAATCGAAAAATTGAGAAATCCTAAAACTGAAACATCAGTAAATTGAGAAATCGAAACATGAAAACACGAGAAATCGAAAATTTTGAGAATCGAAAAATTGAAAAATTGAAAATCGAGAATTGAAGTCAGAAAATTAGAGAATGAAAGACTGAAAAATCTGAAATATTCAAAACTGGAATTCGAAAAGCTCAAAAAATCGATGATTCGGAAAAAGTCCTTCGTTTATTTCGTCCTTTTCGTCCTTTTCGTCCATTTGGTCTTTTTCATACTTTCCGTCATTTTCGCCCTTTTGATCCTTTACGTCTTTTTCGTCCTTAGTCCTTTGTCCTTTGTCTTTCGTCCTTCGTCCTTAGTCCTTAGTCCCTCGTCCTTAATCCTTCGTCCTTCGTCCTTCGTCGTTTGTCTACGGTTTTCGTCCTCTCCGTCCTTTTCTTCCTTTTCGTCCTTTTTGTAATTTTCGTCCTTTTCGTCCTTCGTCCTTCGTCCTTTTCGGCCTTCGTCCTTCGTCCTTTTCGTTATTCGTCCTTCGTCCTTCGTCCTTTTCATCCTTTTCGTCTTTTTCGTCTTTTTCATCCTTTTCGTCTTTGTCGTTCTTTTCGTCCTTTTCGTCCTTCGTCCTTCGTCCTTAGTCCTTGGTCCTTCGTTTTAAATTTGAGGAATCGAAAAATTCCAAAATTGAAAAATTCGTCCTTGGTCCTTTTCGTCCTTTTCCTCCCACGTCGTTCGTCCTTTTCGTCTTTTTCGTCCTTCTCGTCCTTTTCGTCCATTGTCCTTCGTCCCTTGTCTTTAGTCCTTGGTCCTTCGTTTTAAATTTGAAAAATTGATAAATTCCAAAAGTGAAAAATTCGTCCTCGGTCCTTTTCGTCCTTAGTCCTTGGTCTTCGTCCTTCGTCCTTTGTCTTTCGTCCTTTGTCCTGTTCGTCCTTTACGTACTTTTCGTCCTTTACGTCCTTTTCGTCTTTTGTTCTTCATCCTTAATCCTTAGTTCTTAGTTCTTGGTCTTTCGTTTTAAATTCGAGAAAACAAAAAATTCTAAAACTGAAAAATTCGTCCTTCGTCCTTTTCGTCTTTAGTCCTTCGTCCTTCGTCCTTCGTCTTTCGTCCTTCGTTCTTCGTCCTTACTCCCTCGACCTTAGTTCCTCGTCCTTCGTCCCTCGTCCTTAGTCCCTCGTCTTTCGTCCTTTGTCCTTCGTTTTTCGTCCTTTCGGTCCTTTTCGTAATTTTCGTCCTTTTAGTCCTTCGTCCTTTTCGTCCTTCGTCCTTCGTCCTTTTCGTCGTTCGTCCTTCGTCCTTTTCGTCCATTTCGTCCTTCTCGTTCTTTTCGTCCTTTGTCCTTAGTCCTTAGTCCTTTGTCCTTAGTCCTTGGATCTTCGTATTAAATTTGAGAAATTGAAAAATTCTAAAACTGAAAAATTCGTCCTTCGTCCTTTTCATCCTTGCTCCTTAGTCCTTCATCCTGTGTCCTTCGTCCGTTGTCCTTCATCCTTTGTCTTTCGTCCTTCGTCCTTTTCGTCCCACGTCGTTCGTCCTTTTCTTCCTTTTCGTCCTATTCGTCCTTCGTCCTTAGCCCTTCGTTTTAAGTCCCTTGTCCTTAATCTTCGGTCCTTAGTTCTTAGGCTTTTGTCCTTCGTCCTTTGTCCTTCATCCTTAATCCTTAGCCCTTAGTCATTGGTCTTTCGTTTTAAATTCGAGAAATCAAAAAATTCTAAAACTGAAAACTTCGTCCTTCAACTTTTTTTTCCTTAGTCCTTCGTCCTTCGTCCTTAGTTCCTCGTCCTCAATCTTTGGTTTTTCGTCCTTTCTCCTTCGTTTTTCGTCCTTTCCGTCCTTTTCGTCCTGTTGGTAATTTTCGTCCCTTTCGTCCTTTGTCCTTCGTCCTTTTCGTCCTTCGTTTTAAATTTGAAAAATCGAAAAATTCTAAAACTGAAAAATTTGTCCTTCGTCCTTTGTTCTTTTCGTCCTTTTTGTTCTACGTCCTTCGTCCTTTTTGTAATTTTCGTTATTTTCGTCTTTTCAGTCCCTTTCGTCCTTTAAAATTAAATGGATTAAAATGGATATCCGTAAGACACCATACATCTTTATGCTTTATAGTTATACCTAATTTTCGAATATAATGATTTTTCATTCAACAAAACATTTTTCGTAAATTGTTCTTATTATACAAACATCTGGCGATAAACAATCAATAAAGCAATTTAAATATACATAAATTTGTATGAAGCACAGCATAATATATTCGATTTTTCTAAAAAAAAAACCTGACCTTACCTGACCTTACCTGACCTAACCTAACCTGCACTGAGCAATCCTAACCTAACCTTACATGACCTGATATGACGAGATATGACATAGTACTACTTTTCTTAGTTTGACCTAGCATAACCTGACGAAGACCAACCTGATCTGACCTGACCTGAGTTGTTGTTAGCAACACTGATTATTATTATCCAATTTCATCCAAGGGTTAGGGATTTTATTTATTTTTTCTTCTATTGAATAACTGGTTTCGGTTTCGTTAACTACCCCGAGGTTGAATCTGAATTAAGCAAAATTTGTCAAAATTATTAAAATAAGCAAGCTTTAAACTCTGTTGCTATGTAAAAGCACAAAACGTTTCACTCGATTAAAAAATTCAGGCCGAAAATGGTCACAGCGGTCCTTCAATAAAAGAAAAAATAAAATCCTGATCGAACTATTGGCATTAGGGGGACACTTTGTCTCTGGAATTGTTTATTTACAATTTCGAAAAGGCGATGTTGAGTTTTCATCCAGTTCTTCAAGTTTTGGATTTCTTGAGTTAGAGCTTCTTCAGTTTTGTTGAATGCTTGCACATTATAATTACATCAAGGTTAACTACACTGGGATTCATTGTATACAAAATTCGCAGTATAACTGGAATTATTACATTAAGTTCGAGGTATATTTGAAGTGAAGCTTTCAAGAAAATTCTGTAATAATAATTTACACCGTGGCCAGCTAGATATCAACTTATGGGGGTTCAAAATTGACAAATAGAATTATTGCGAAACTCAAAATTAACTACTAGGGAACTATGTTTGTACATTTCAGAAAAATAAAATATAAAAAGTGTTACATATGAGATACGTATTTTGTGTTGCATTGAAATTTGGTCAGGGTTCCGTTATTATAAATTATAATACTCAACCTGTAGATGTCAGACTAAGAAAGGAAAACAATCTTTCGATGAAGTGCAAAATAAGCGTTAGTCAATGTCTAACTTTCTAAAATTGCCATGATATCCCAAAAATTCGTCATTTTCATTTTCAAGTTTGGTTGGCCTTAAACTCTCATTCACTCTCAATTTATCCAGGAGATCGAAACGGTCTTGATATTCTTGAAGCTTAAGGTGGTACAATTCTACAAATTCAAATAAAAAAATTTCCAAACTAAAGTGTTTTCATTACCATGCAATTCTTCGACCGACTTTTCGGTACCACCGTAATCCCTTGGTAACATTTCTAAAGGAAAGTGCTCCTTTAAAATATTCGCGTCTTTACTCACATGAATCTAAACCCCTCAAAATAAATTAATTGTTTTTTTTCAAGTACGTCTCTTACCCTTTCGAATATTTTAGGTTTGACGAGAGCCTTAACGATAGCTAGTATTGTGCTGATATAAGGAACAGTATTAATTATGTACACACCCTTCACTGGCAGAGAATATATTTTCTGTAAAAAAGCAAATGTTATCGTTTTGTTATTAATTTGTTTTTGTACTCACCTTATACAAAGTTATGAATGAGAAAAAAAAAGCTGGTGTTAGTTTTGACAAGAAACGTACGGACATCCCTTCTAAGTCATAAATGAACACATCTCCAAACATTATATCTTCTTTCAATCTAATTTCATACAAGTTGAGACCCACTTTAAGCATGTCATAGGGATCAATTTGCTCCAGTTTGTCTTTAAATGCGTATTTTTCCACGAATACTCTGTACATCTCCTTGGTCATTTTTGGTAAGGGTACATGGTACTTTACTTTTCCCACTTCTTTCATGTTTGAACAACGAGGATTCATATTTCTGGCAATATCAGGTCGTTGACTTCGAAAAGTGTAGTACATGTCTATTTTTTCTTTTGCTTTTTCGACATTACATTTATTTAGAATTAGAAAATTTTGCACACTTTTGTCATCTATAAATTTATTAGATAGTTGTATTAATTACGAGTTTTTATTATTTGCTTACCTAAAATTTCGGGAAGGTGATGCTGATCTTTCATCCAGTTTTTTAAGCTTAGGACATCTTCGGCCAATGACTCCTCAGTTTTGTTGAAAACTTTGACAATTGAACTCAGAGCGTTGCTTTGGACATAAAATAGTTCTTTGTTTTTTGGCATCTTTTACCTTATGAAGTGAGCGTTTCGGAGTTGATCGACTACTAGTAAAGAACTTTTAAGAGTCGCATCAAATAAATTTCTTATCGTCTAGATAAAACAGGTTTCTCATGTCTGACTTACAAGACGTGGAATAAAATCTCACGCTCTTGACCCAGTGCCGCCGCAATTATAACTGCATTCGGCTTTTGAACTATATCAACTTAATATAACATATCAGGGCAACCAATCTGTGGTCGTGTGGTTGAAAAATCATCGAATATTATTATTTGAAATATTTTTCATTTCTTTGATTAAGAAATCGTCATATTCTTCGAAAATTTAAAAAATCGAAAAAAATGAAAATTGGAAAAACTGAAAAATACAAAAATTGAGAGGTCTGGAAGTCTAAAAACCAGAAAACGATTAATCGAAATATTGAGAAATCGAAAAATCCAAAATTTAGCAACGTCAAAATTGAAAAATCAAAAAATCCTCATTGAAATGGGGAAATTGAATTTGAAAATCGAGAATTGAAAAGTCAGAAAATTAGAGAATGAAAGACTGAAAAATCTCGAATCTGAAATATTCAAAAATGGAATTCGAAAAGCTCAAAACATCGATAATTTGGAAAAAGTACTTTTCGTCATACGTCCTTCGTCCTTTTCGTATTTTTCGTCCCTTTCGTCCATTTGGCCCTTTTCCTCCTTTTCGTCCTTTTAGTTCTTTACGTCCCTTTCGTCCTTTGTCCTTCGTCCGTAGCCCTTCGCTCTAAGTCCTTCGTCCTGTTCGTCCTTTTCGTCCTCATCATCCCTGTCGTCTTTTTTGTCCTTTTCGTCCTTTGTCCTTCATCCTTAATCCTCAGTCCTTAATCCGTGGTCCTTCCTTTTAAATTTGAGAAATTGAAAAATTTTAAAACTGAAAAATTCGTCCTTCGTCCTTCGTCTTTTGTACTTCGTCCTTCGTCTTTTGTCCTTCGTCCTTCGTCTTTTGTCCTTCGTCCTTCGTCTTTTGTCCTTCGTCCTTCGTCTTTTGTCCTTCGTCCTTTGTCTATTGTCCTTCGTCCTTCGTCCTTTCCGTCCCTCGTCGTTTGTCCTTTCGTCCTTTCCGTCCTTCGTCCTTTTCGTCCTTTTCGTCTTTTTCGTCCTTTTCGTCCTCTTCGTCCTTTTCGTCCTTTGTCCTCCGTCCTTAGTCCTTGACCTTTCGTTTTAAATTTGAGAAATCGAAAAATTCTAAAACTGAAAAATTCGTCCTTTATCCTCCGTCCTTCGTCCTCCGTCCTTCGTCCTTCGTCCTTTTCGTCCTTTTCGTACTTTTCGTCATTTTCGTCCTTTTGGTTCTTTACGTCCTTTTCGGCCTTTGTCCTTCGTCCTTAGCCCTTGGTTCTAAGTCCCTCATCCTTAGTCCTTGGTCCTTAGTCCTTAGTCTTTCGTCCTTCGTTCTTTGTCCTTAGTATTTCGTCCTTTTCGTCCTACATCTTTCATCCTGTTCGTCCTTTTTGTCCTTCGTCCTTTTCGTCTTTTTCGTTCTTTGTTCTTCATCCTTAATCCTTAGTCCTTAGTCCGTGGTCCTTCATTTTAAGTTTGAGAAATTGAAAAATTTCAAAACTGAAAAATTCGGCCTTCGCCGTTCGTCCTTTTCGTCCTTAGTTCTTCGTCCTTCGTCTTGTGTTATTCGTCTTTCGTCCTTTCCGTCTCACATCGTTTGTCCTTTTCATCCTTTCCGTCCTTCGTCCTTTTCGTCCTTTTGGCCTTTTTCGTCCTTTTCGTCCTCTTCGTCCTTTTCGTCCTTTGTCCTTCATCCTTAGTCCTTCGTCCTTAGTCCTTGGTCCTTCGTTTTAAATTTGAGAAATCGAAAGCTTCTAAAACTGAAAAATTCGTCCTTCGTCCTCCATCCTTTTCGTTCTTTTCGTAATTGTCGTCCTTTTCGTCCTTTTGGTTCTTTACGTCCTGTTCGTCCTTTTTGTCCTTCGTCCTTTTCGTCCTTATTCTCCCTGTCGTCTTTTTTGTGACATCGAAAATTTGAATAAGCGAAACATTGAAATGGGGAAACTGAATTTGAAAACCGAGAAATTGAAAAGTCGGAAAATTCGAAGACTCGAAAAATCAAAGATCGGAAAATTGGGAAATCGAATTTTGCGTCTTGTTGCATTGTTGTACTTTATATGTGTAGAGAGACCTTGGGGAGTTTGAACACTTGATTGAATACTAGCAAAATATTTTTTAGAATAGTTTTTATATACCTAAGTTCTAATAAATTATTATTCAAGAAAAACTGGTTTTAAACATTTTTTTATACATAGGTGACTCCTGCTTCATTAACACTTTTTTATCCACATATTGTAATTAAATGTTTAATGTTGTTGTAAACAATTTATTTATGTAGTAAATCAAAAGCAATTGTTTTTGCAACCCGTAGATTAGATATGTAAATTCCTCGTTAGCATCAGTTCGTTTGTAGTACAGCAGTAAAATTACAATTTTAAATGTTAAAGATTAGAGATACTTTAGGCGCGAGGAAAGTTCTGTCGAAACAATTTTCGACCAATGATTTCCTTCGTCCTTCGAAGTGACAATAAATGAAAAATTCATCACAATTGAGACAGGGGCGGGTGGGCGGGGCTTAATTTTGCCTTCTTTTTCTTAATGTATAGAGTCTATAGAGTTTACTTTCAACAACATAACACTTAAAACTATTTACTATTGAGATGGATAGGCCCCACCCATCCGCCCCATCTCAATTGTGATGATTTTTTTATTCGTCGTGAGACCGAGGGGTGGAGCTTAACCGCAAAGTCCATATTTCTGTACAAGAAATTAAGGAGTGAAATATGTTTGGAGAAAAAATGGGCAACGAAGAAGAGAAAAAACTTTACAAAATTTTGCTAACATAGCAGTGCTAATAAACAGATTAAGCAAGAAAAATGTGTAAGACCTGAATGTGCTCACTGCGCTCGTATTCTAACGGTGAGTTTCCGAAATTCTACAAAATTATTATTATAAATTTCGCTAAAACTGTTTCTTGAACATTCTTAAACTTTAAAGAAAGAGCCTTTAGAAAACGAGCACAGCGAGCACATTCAGGTTTTACTAAAAAATTTGGTCCTAATTGTCATACATTTTTGAATTTTTTTTTCAAAAATCTGGATGTTTCGGGGAAAAAATCAACACATTGGTAGTAGGATGATTAGATAGGCATAGACGGCGAACAGGCCGACAGACAGTCAGATAGACGGAAACGGGAGACCTATTTTTCGTACTCGAGGGTCCGATGGAATTTCACTGAACAACAGAAAAAATCATCCTAATCTGTTAACACTTTGAGAGAACTTTTGCAAATTTTACGTGACTATACTGAGGGCTACAAAATTATGTAAAGAAAAAACTCATCTCGAAAATGCTGGATTTTTTTCATTGTACTTCAGGAGCGAGGGAAGTTCTATCGAAACAACTTTCGACCAATATAATGATTATTCATTCAGTAATATATATTTCGTAAATTGTTCTTTTTATACAATCTGGCGATAAATAAGCAACAAAAATTTTTAATTTACATAAATTTGCATTAAGTACTTACATAACAATATCCTGGATTTTTCTCAAAAAAAAACCTGATCTGACCTGAGCTCACCTGCATTGTGCAATCCTGTTCTAACCTTACATGACCTGACATGACTTGACATGACCTGACCTGACCTGACGAAGGCCAGCCTGATCTGAACAGACATCACTTGCTATTAACCACTCTATTTATTTTTTCGTGTATTGAAAAACTTAACTATCCCGAAACTGAATTAACAATAATTTGTCAATGCAAAGTTTCACTCGAAAATAAACTTTAGACCGTTATCATTAAATAAATTTTGTAGTTTGTTATGCAAAACAGGTTTTACAATAGTTACTTTTTGTATATTTTTTTCCTCATTATAATTAATTATTTGTTGCAGGATTATATTTATAACAAGGTTAACTACACTAGAATACTTTGCACTTAAAATAATCTCACCGTCAGTAATTTAAATTAATTCTTGCAGCAGTCGCAGTATAATTAGAATTATATTAAATTAGAGGTATATTTGAAGTGAATCTTCCTAGAAAACTATCTAATAATCTACAGCGTGGCCATCTAGACATCGAGATGCAATAAAATGCCACAGTACTTCATAAAAGAATAATAACACAGGCCTGCGAAATATAACTTTTAAATTCCCTTTTAAGTAATATTGTTTTTTTTTAGGTATTTATGTATGCCGAATTAAAATATAACTCTAGTTTTTTTGTAGCACATCGAGATTTATTTTTATGTAGGCCTAAATATTCATAGGTTTTCAAACAATTTTTATGAAAAAATAAAATATAAAGAATATAAAATTGAATGTTTATTTATTAAATGAACTAAATAAGTTATAAACAAGACTTAAAAAAACAAATAAATCAAGAAGCTTCTTTTTTTCTTTCTTCAAAGCTCTGATTTAAGCGTTTTCTCTTGTATTCACGATAGGATATGTTATTGCTGTTACATTTTTCGCATTATATCATTTTATATTTGAACAGCAAAAGTAACAATCCTCTGTATGATTTTGTGGCTCCATCCAAATCATTGGTGTCAGCAAACTTATCTGAAGAATTAACCCATTTCCGAGAAGACATTAGTAATTTTTGTTTAAATTCGGGGTAATAAGCGCATAGTCGACACAAATAACTCTTACTAAGCTGAACACGAAATGAAATATCAACACCATTATCAATACATATTATTACCACAAAATCTAGAAGTTAATTTTTATAGTACTAAGAACAAAACTGAAAAAAATATTTTTTGCAGAAACTGTACGTGATAGAAATTTTTGCAATTTTTTTTTATACATGAGTGTCTAAGACCTACCAAAATTACTACTTGATTTTGTTGGGGGAAAACCATCGCAGGCCTGTGTAATAGTTAAATCGACGCAGCTTTTTTCCCCTTTCATTACATCTTAAAAATTCAGTATAATTTTGCTTTTGAAGCCCCCATATCTTAATTTAACCGCAGTTTGTCCAGTTTATCGTCATATTCTTCCAATTTAAGTTTCATTAGGAAACTGTAAACGTTTTTTAATAAGCATGCACTTCAAATCAAAAATGGCAAAACTGAAATATCGAAAAATTTAAAAATCGTAGAAAATTGGATAATCGAAAAATTGAAAAATCTCAAACCTGAAACATTTGAAATTGAGGTATCCAAAAATCGACAATTTAAAAAATCGAATAAATGAAAATTTGAAAACCTCAAAAATCGAAAAATTGACAAGTCGACAAGTTGAGAAATCGAAAAGTCTTTTGTACTGGGAATGATCTGGAATAGAGATGACACTCTACACCTCTGTCTAGAAAATTTGAAACAAGTTGACACAAGTTGCATAACGAAGAAGCTAATTTTGTCCATCACCAACTTGGATTTGTGTCATTTGTACTTTTACTGCCGAAAATGTCACTTCAGAGAACTCGGATGACACACTTGAACTGGACTATACCAGTTCCCGAAGACTTAAAATAATCCTTTTTAGGGAGTTAAAGTTTGTGTCATTTATCGAGCTTCTTTATTGTTGTAGTGTTGTTATTATTTAAGCTATTATTTAAGGTGAACATAGACGGCTCGTGAATATATGGGTAGGATAATTTTAAATTCAACTTGAGTTTTAGAAAAAATCCTATATAAAAAAGTTGTTCCGCTTCACGAGTTCTGTTACTGGGTAAAATTAATGTACTTATTTCTGAGACACCTTTGTTTTATTAATAATTTGCTCTGATTTAATTACAATTAAATGTTTATTTTTTGGTTAATTCTTTGTTAAAACTTTGTGTTGTTGTAAACATGTTGGAACTAATAAATCAAGGTCAACCGTAGCAGTAGAAAAATCGGTGAATAGAAAACAATATGAATGTAGATGGAATTTTGTTTTTCGCTCCAAGGTGTATGTTATCTGTTTTGCAAAATTACAAAAAATTCTATTGTTTTTTAAATTTAAGAATAGCAAAGCATTTAAAATGGATCTCTGTTAGACACCACACAGATATACTTTTTAATCCGTTTAATTTCTAAAATATAAATTTCCATACATATAATTACACTTCTAGTTATCCAACAATACATTTCGCTTAAGTTGTTTTTATCATACAAATATCTGGGTATCAAAAAGCAATACAAATTTTAAATTTACATAAATCTGTATAAAATTAATATATATTATATTATCGGTATCCTGTAATCGACTACTAATTTTTTAAGAACAGATTAATTTTCTCGATATTTTTATGTAAACAATTACAACATTTTAACTACATTTAAATAAACTTTGTTATATATATTTGTATCTGAAAACAAATTGTAAATTTATATAATTTTAATTTAAAGCTGTCTCATATTCATTTTCTTTATTTTTCATTTAAAGTACGTATTTATTAAATTAATTTTATTTGCGTGGAGATCTAATTTACGATAAAAAATGATAAAGAATTCAAGGAAAAATTGAGATTTCAAAATAAAAAAAAACAATCATACTATTATTTTAATTTGCTAAATATTATTATATATAGGTACTTAATACTAAGCTTGGAAAACAATATTTCGATAAAGAGCAAAGTAAGTGTTAGTCAACGTTTAACTTTCTAAAATTACCATGATATCCCAAAAGTTCGTCGTTTTCATTTGCAAGTCTGGCAGACCTTAAACTCTCATCCACTCTCAATTTATCCAGCAGATCGAAGCGGTCTTGATATTCTTGATACTTAAGGTGGCACAATTCTAGAAATTCAAATCAAACATATTGCAAACTAAAATGTTGTTAGTACCATGCAATTCCTCGATTGATTTTTCGGTACCACCGTAATCCTTAGGTAACATCTCTAAAGGAAAGTGCTCCTTTAAAATACTTGTGTCTTTACACACATGAATCTAAATCCCAAAAAATAAATTGAATGTTTTTTTGAAGTAAGTCTCTTTACCCTTTCGAATAATTTAGGTTTGACGAGAGTCTTAACGATAGCTAGTAATGTGCTGACGTAAGGGACAGTATTAATTATGTACAAACCCTTCACTGGAAGAGAATATATTTTCTGTAAGAAAGAAAATGTCATCGTTTTGTAATTTCTTTGTCTATGTACTCACTTTATATAAAGTTACGACAGTCAGAAGCAAAACTGGTGTCAATTTTGACAAGAAACGTACTGATGTTCCTTCTAAGTCGAAAATGAGCACATCCCCGTACATGATATCTTCTTTCAATCTAATTTCATGCAAGTTAAACGCCATTTTAAGTACATCGTAGGGATTAATTTGCTCTACTTTGTCTTTAGTTCGGTATTTCTCCAGGACTACTCTGTACATATCCTTGGTCATTTTTGGGAGGGCTACATGGTACATTAGCTTTTCCACTTCTTTCATGTTTGAACAACGAGGATTCGCGTTTGTGGAGAAGTCAAGTACCTCACTTCTTAAAGTGTAGTACATGTCTATATTCTCTTTTGTTTTTTCTACATTACATTTATTTAAGATTAGAAAATTTTGCACACTTTTATCATCTACAAATTTATTACGTAATTGTGTTAACAGACAAGTACGAGTTTATCGTTTACTTACCTAAAATTTCGGGAAGGTGATGCTGATCTTTCATCCAGTTTTTTAAGGTCAGAACATCTTCGGCCAACGATTCTTCAGTTTTGTTGAACACTTTCACAATTGTATTCAGAGCGTCGCTTTGGACATAAAATAATTCTGTGTCTTTTGGCATAGTTTACCTTATGAAGTTTTAGAGACGGTCGATTACTAATAAAGAACTTTTCAGAGTCGCATTCTATAAATTTTGTACTGATTGGATAAAACATGTTTTGCATGTTTGATATTACGTCATTTAATCACTTCTTTTTTTATTATAGTTGTGATAAAGGTTTCGATTGACGTTACACTGTGCATAATTATAAACAAGGTTAACAACACTGGCATTCTTTTGTCCGAAGTAACTTATTTATCATAAACGAAGCATATTAGTTAAATTACCGCTGCTTTTTTTACTTTCCATTACATCTTAAAAATTTAGAATGGTTGTACTTTTGAAGTCCCCATATTTTAATTTAACCGCAGTTTGTCCAGTTTACCGTCACATTCTTCGAATTTAAGTTTCATTTGGTAACTGTAAACATTTTTTTAATAACCATGCACGTCAAATCAAAAAATGACAAAATTGAAGATTTGAAATATTGAAAAATTGAGAATTCTCAAAACTGAAACATCAGAAAATTGAGAAATCGAAACATGAAAAAACGAGAAATCGAAAAATTGAAGAATGGAAAAATTGAAAAATACCAAGTCTGAAATATTGAAAAATTAAGTAATCGAAAAATTGAAAGGGGGAAATTGAAATTGAAAATCGAGATATTGAAAATTGAAAATCGAGTCAGAATAAAGTCAGAAAATTAGAAAATGAAAGACTGAAAAATGTCGAATCTGATATATTCAAAAATGGGATGCGAAAAGCTCGAAAAATCAATAATTCGGAGTCCTTTTCGTGATAAGTCCTTCATTCTTTTCGTCCTTTTCGTCCTTTTCGTACTTTGTCCTTCGTCCTTAGTCCTTGGTCCTTCGTTTTAAATTTGAGAAATCGAAACATTCCAAAACTGAAAAGTTCGTCCTTCGTCCTTAGTCCTTCGTTCTAAATCCCTCGTCCTTAGTCCTTCGTTCTTAGTCCTTGATCTTTCGTCCTTCGTCCTTTGTCTTTCGTTTTTCGTCCTTTCCGTCCTTTCCGTCCTTTTCGTCCTTTTCGTCCTTATTCCTTCATCCTTTTTGGGCCTTCGTCCTTTTCGTTTTTCGTCCTTCGTTTTTCGTCCTTTTCGTCTTTTTGGTCCTTTTCGTCCTTTGTCCTTCGTCCTTAGTCTTTGGTCCTTCGTTTTAAATTTGAGGAATCGAAAAATTCCAAAACTGAAAAATTCGTCCTTCGTCCTTTGTCTTTCGTCCTTCGTCCTTTTCGTCCCACGTCGTTCGCCCTTTGTCCTTCGTCCTTTTCGTCCTTAGTCCTTCGTCTTTCGTCCTTAGTCCCTAGTCCTTCGTCCTTCGTCCTTTGTCCTTCGTTTTTCGTCCGTTCCGTCCTTTTCATTCTTTTCGTCCTTAATTTTCGTCCTTTTCGTTATTCGTCCTTTTCGCCCTTTGTCCTTCGTCCTTCGTCCTTTGTCCTTAGTTTTTGGTCCTTCGTTTTAAATTTGAGAAATTGAAAAATTCTAAAAGTGAAAAACTCGTCCTTGGTTCTTTAGTCCTTCGTCCTTCGTCCTTTGACTTTCGTCCTTTGTCCTGTTCGTCCTTTACGTACTTTTCGTCCTTTACGTCCTTTTCGTCCTTTGTTCTTCATCCTTAATCCGTAGCCCTTAGTTCTTGGCCCTTCGTTTTAAATTCGAGAAAACAAAAAATTCTAGAACTGAAAAATTCGTCCTTTGTCCTTCGTCCTTTTCGTCCTTAGTCCTTCGTCCTTCGTCTTTCGTCTTTAGTCCCTCGTTCTTAGTCCCTAGTCCTTAGTCCTTCGTCCTTCGTCCTTTGTCCTTCGTTTTTCGTCCGTTCCGTCCTTTTCATTCTTTACGTCCTTAATTTTCGTCCTTTTCGTTCTTCGTCCTTTTCGTCCTTCGTCTTGTGTTATTTGTCCTTCGTATTTTCCGTCCCACGTCGTTTGTCCTTTTCATCCTTTCCGTCCTTCGTCCTTTCCGTCCTTTTGGTCTTTTTCGTCCTTTTCGTCCTCTTCGTCCTTTTCGTCCTTTGTCTTTCGTCCTTAGTCCTTGGTCCTTCGTTTTAAATTTGAGAAATCGAAAAATTCTAAAACTGAAAAATTCGTCCTTCGTCCTCCATCCTTTTGGTTCTTTACGTCCTGTTCGTCCTTTTCGTCCTTATTCTCCCTGTCGTCTTTTTTGTGACATCGAAAATTTGAATAAGCGAAACATTGAAATGGGGAAATTGAATTTGAAAACCGAGAAGTTGAAAAGTCGGAAAATTCGAAGAGTCAAAAATCGAAGATCGGAAAATTGGGAAATCGAATTTTGCGTCTTGTTGCATTGTTGTACTTTATATGTGTAGAGAGACCTTGGGGAGTTTGAACACTTGATTGCATACTAGCAAAATATTTTTTAGAATAGTTGTTATATACCTAAGTTCTAATCAATTATTCAAGAAAAACTGGTTTTAAACATTTTTTATACATAGGTGACTCCTGCTTAATTAACACTTTTTTATCCACATATCGTAATTAAATGTTTAATGTTGTTGTAAACAATTTATTTATGTAGTAAATCAAAAGCGACCGTAGTAGCAATTGTTTTTGCAACCCGTAGATTAGATATGTAAACTCCTCGTTAGCATCAGTTCTTTTGTAGTACATCAGTAAAATTACAATTTTAAATGTTAAAGATTAGAGATACTTTAGGCGCGAGGAAAGTTATGTCGAAACAATTTCGACCAATGATTTCCTTCGTCCTTCGAAGTGACAATAAATGAAAAATTCATCACAATTGAGGCAGACATTAATTTTTGCCTTCTTTTTCTTAATGTATAGAGTTTACTTTCAACAACATAACACTTAAAACATAATTCTAACCTCGAATTCAGCATTTGATATTTTAAGTATTTTACTATTGAGATGGATAGGCCCCACCCACCCGCCCCATCTCAATTGTGATGATTTTTTTATTCGTCGTGAGACCGAGGGGTGGAGCTTAACCGCAAAGTCCATATTTCTGTACAAGAAATTAAGGAGTGAAATATGTTTGGAGAAAAAATAGGCAACGAAGAAGAGAAAAACTTTGCTAACATAGCAGTGCTAATAAACAGATTAAGCAAGAAAAAAGTGTAAGACCTGAATGTGCTCACTGCGCTCGTATTCTAACGGTGAATTTCCGAAAATCTACAAAATTATTATAAATTTCGCTAAAACTGTTTCTTGAACATTGTTAAACTTTAAAGAAAGAGCCTTTAGAAAACGAGCACAGCGAACACATTCAGGTTTTATTAAAAAAGTTGGTCCAAACTGGCATACATTTTTGATTTTTTTTCAAAAATCTGGATGTTTCGGGGAAAAAATCAACTCATTGGTAGTAAGATGATTAGATAGGCATAGACGGCGAACAGGCCGACAGACAGTCAGATAGACGGAAACGGGAGACCTATTTTTCGTACTCGAGGGTCCGATGGAATTTCACTGAACACCAGAAAAAATCGTCCGAATCTATTAACACGTTGAGAGAACTTTTGCAAATTTGACGTTACTATACTGAGGGCTACAAAATTATGTAAAGAAAAAACTCATCCCGAAAATGAATATTTTTCATTGTACTTCAGGAGCGAGGGAAGTTCTGTCGAAACAACTTTCGACTAATATAATGATTATTCATTCAGCAATATATTTTTCCTAAATTGTTCTTTTACATAAATATCTGGCGATAAATAAGCAACAAAAAATTTTAATTTGCTTAAATTTGCGTTGAGTACTTACATAACAATATTCTGGATTCTTCTCAAAAAAAAACCTGATGTGCCCTGAGCTTACCTGCATTGTGTAATCCTGTTCTAACCTTACATGACCTGACATGACTTGACATGACCTGACCTGACCTGATGGAACCTGACGAAGGCCAGCCGGATCAGAACCAACATCACTTGCTACTAACCACTCTATTTATTTTTTCTTCTATTGAAAAACTTAACTATCCCGAACCTGAATTAACAACAATTTGTCAACGCAAAGTTTCACTCGAAAATAAACTTCAGACCGTTATCATTAAATAAATTTTTTAGTTTGTTATGCAAAACAAGTTTTACAATAATTACTTTTTGTATATTTTTTTCCTCATTATAATTAATTATTTTTTGCAGGATCATATTTATAACAAGGTTAACTACACTAGAATTGATTGCACTCAAAATAATCTCACCGTCAGTAATTTAAATTAATTCTTGCAGCAATCGCAGTATAAATACAATTATATTAAATTAGAGGTATATTTGAAGTGAATCTTCCTAGAAAACTATCTAATAATCTACAGCGTGGCCATCTAGATATCAGCATGCAATAAAATGATCTTTTTTTTTTTTAAATTATAAATTTTATTGACTAACAGAACATAGTTCCAAAATAGACACTAGTTTTAAACAACATAATATGAAATAAGATGTCCTTATAACTACAAACGTCTTAAATAATTGTTAAACATATGTTGCGAGCAACTGAAGATATCTATATCTACAAAGTTATTAACCGCCAATCCTATTCTATTTACTACAGAAGTGTTGTAACCGAGATTTGTTCTTTTAATCGAACATAAGATTGTGTCCTGGTTCCTAGTATATACCAAAGGTACTCTAAAATTAAATAAGGATAAGAATTCGGCACTATCAATTTGATTATTGAACAGTTTATATGCAAACTTAAGCTCAAATTTTAACTTACGTTGTGTAAGAATCTCTAGTTCTGTTATAGCAAGTCTTTGATTATAATTATAATTTGATTCATTGAGACCCATTTTAAACATTAAATAATTACAGAACTTTCTTTGTACCCTTTCGAGGCGAGTTTCGTGAATTGCATATGAAGGAAACCATATAAGAATGCCATATTCTAAAATTGGTCTAACCATGGTAATATAGAGCTTACGAATTGCTATGATGCTATGGAAATCTGCAGTCATTCTTCTTATGAAACCACTAACTCGAAAAGACTTATCGATTACATAATCTATATGCTTAACAAAACTTAAAGTCGAATTAAAAATGATCCCTAAGTCCCTAATTTCACTAACAGCCTCCAGGATTTGGTTGTCAATGCTATATGAAAATTTTATAGTGGATTTTTTCCTGGAGAATGTTATTTGTTTACACTTTTTGTTATTTAATTGCATGCTATTTTCACTACACCAGTTGGTTATTTTTATAAGAGTATATTGCATAGCTTGACAATCTGCAAGGTCGTTAACTTTAATCAATATTTTAAGATCGTCCGCAAAGAATAAAAATCTAACAAAATTAAGTGATAGTGCAAGATCATTTATGAATATTAAAAATAAAATAGGACCGATGTGACTGCCTTGTGGGACTCCCGAGGGAATAGAAATAGCATCTGATAAAAAGCCTTTAACTGAGATTTTTTGGGTACGATTTAATAGGTAAGACGTTAA